TTTGGTGGTTGGGAGCCAGAGGAGCCTAGCAAGGACTGGTGTGATGGGGGTACAGAGCTTTGTGCGGGTCAGTATCCGGGCCGGGGAGTTTTGAATTAATTGGATTTTGGGTATGCTGGGGAGACCAGCAAGGAGGACGCTGGGATAGTCCAGCCGGGAAGTGACGGAGGTGTAGATGAGGGTTTCAGCTGCATCGTTTATGAGGTACGGATGGAGGTGGGCAATGTGGTGGAGGTGGAAAAAAGCAGTCAACAACAACAATAACTTGGATTTATATAGCACCCTCCACGCCGGACGGCGTCTCAGAGCGCTTTACAGTAACAGGTCCCGGGACAGAGCCAGGGGGAGGGAGAAGAAGGTGACCAAAGGCGTGGTCAAAAAGAAAGGTCTTCAGAGACATGAAAATGGGAAGGGAGAGAGTGAGGCGAAGGGAGTGCGGAAGGCATAGTGGCCTGAAGGCACGGCCGCCAAGGGTTGAGCGGAGGACTCGGGGGACGAGGAGGAGGATAGACCCGGAGGAATGGAGGCAACGGGTACTGTTTTGAGGAGAGAGGAGGTCAGAGAGGTAGGGGGGGTCAGAGGAGTGCAGGGACTTGAATACAAGGGTGAGGATCTTGAAATGGATCCTCTCTGGGATAGGCAGCCAGTGCAAGGACTGGGGTGATTGGGGAGCGGAGTTTCGTGCGGATGAGAATGCGGGCGGCAGTTTTGATTGAATTTGATTTCATGGATGGTAGTGGATGGGAGACCGGCGAGGAGGGCATTTGAATAGTCCAGCCGATAGGTGACAAAGGCATGGACTAGGGTTTCAGCGGCTTTTGGGAGAGGTATTGACGGAGATGGGCAATGCGTCGGAGATGGAAGAAAGCGGCGCTGGTGAGGGACCGGATGTGGGGGAGGAAGGATAATTGGGGGTCGAACCTGACGCCTAGGTTGCATATGGGTTTGGAGAGTCTGAGGCAGAGCCCAGGGAGGTTGAGGAGTTCAGACCTGCAGGAGAAAAGACATTGATGGGAACCAAAGAGTATGGCTTCTGTCTTGCTGACATTCAGCTGCAGGAAATTTGCGCTCATCCGGGCCTAGATGACCGTCAAACAAGCTGACAGGACATCAGCGGGCTGGGAGTTGCAGCTGGAGAAGTAGATTTGTGTGTCATCCGCATACATGTGGAAGTTGATCAATGTCTGTCGATTACATTGCCGAGAGGAAGCATGTAGAGAAAAATAAAGGGGCCAAGTATGGAGTCTTGGTGTACTCCGCAGGTGATTGGGTGGGGGTGAGAGGAAAATCCATTTGCCGAGATGAAGTGCTGATGGTTGATTAAGTAGGATTCGGAAACATGCGAGTGGGGTCCCACCAAGGTGGATGAGAGAGGAGAGGTGGAGGAGTATGGCGTGATCAACTGTTGAACAAAGCGAAGAGGTCCAGGAGCGCAAGGAGGCAGAGGAAGCCCTGGTCACAGAGGATGTCATTTGCTACTTTGATGAGTGCTTTTTTGTGCTGTGGGCTGGGCGGTTTGAAACGAAATAGTGTGTGAGGTTGAAGGGACCAACTGTAGGTTTTTTAAGGAGGGGCGTGATGACAGATGTTTCGAGGGGGAGTGGGACTGAGCCTGAGGAGAGGGATTGATTTATTGTGTCAGCCAGCAGTGGACAGAGGAGGGGGAAATGAGGGACCAGCAGCTGGGTGGGGAGGATATCGAGGCAGCAGGTGGTGGGTTTCATCTGGGTGATGGAGGCGAAGGAGTGTAGGTTTCATCACACCCATATAGAGGATGTCCCATCTCAACTGAATATTTGACTTTCACACCAACCTACTTTAACATTGTTATGAAACATTTGCAATTTCCTATTCACATATTCACTTATCAACCTGTTATGATCAGAACAGCCAGGGACTTTTCAGCTGGAGATGTCTCTACATCATTGTTGGTCCATTTCACAAGAGTCTCAAATAGTGTAGATCAAGACAGACTGACTATTTGGTATCTTGGGCCAGTTAAAGGTGAGAACGATTAAGACCCAACTTTTCGACTGTGCTTTGTGTTATTTGTTTCTTCTCCACCCCCCCACAGCAGCTCGAGGGCCCAGTCAGTTGTGTAATGTGCTTTGAAATGTCCTCCGCATGTGCAAGTCACTGTATAAATGTAAATTGCACAATATATGAGAATAATTTGCTTTAAGTTGGGTCAGTGGGTGATAGTGGAGAAATCCAATACAAGTCAGACATGTACATGTTTGATATTATGAATTTGATGTTAACTTGTAAATTACAATTTTTAGCATTTAACAGGATTATCTGAAAGTCTGTTTTTCTTTAAACCTGTATGATTTCCCATGTCTTGTAATTTGTACATTAAAATTATCTTTCAACATTTTGCATGTGTTGCTCTTCTTTAGATAACATATGTGCACTTTTTTCTGGTTTTCTTTTAGTAAACTTACATGGGTTGAGGCTTAGCTTCATTTAGTATAACTACCAGAGTAATTGCACTGTATAATCTAAATGCAACTATCTATAAGACCATAAATCATAAATGCTCCCTAAAGATTTTCTGAGTTTCCTGACTTTCAGGTTGACCTTATGCTGGGACTAATACCAGTCTCCTTTAATAGTTGCATGATGAAATCTGCATTACAACAAGATTTCATTTATAGAGCGCCTTTCACGTCGGGAGGATGTCCCAAGGCGCTGGACAGTTGGGTTGGGACCCGAGCAGGGGGGAAATGATCAGGGTGAGGGGAGGAAAGGGAGGGAGCGAGGAGGGGGTAGAGAGTCGAGAGGGGAGCTGAAGGCACGGTCGAAGAGAAAGGTCTAGAGACCGGCCTTGAAGGAGGAAAGGGAGGAGGCGGCGAAGGCACTGGGGGATGGAGTTCCAGAGCCTAGGGGCTGAGACCCGGCCACCGATGGTAGGGCGGGGGATGTGGAGCAGACCGGAGCCAGAGGAACGGAAGGTACGGGCAGGTAAGTAGGGGGATAGTAGGTCAGAGAGGAAGGAGGGAGCGAGGCCGTGAATGGCCTTGTAGGTGAGGACTAGGATCTTGAACTCCGTTTCATAAGGCAAGAAAAAAGATGGGTCAGTCTTTACAGCTCACAAGACCAGTTTGGTGATCTCATCCCTCCAACAACCCAATAAGGCACTTGTGTTTGCGGTTCTTCCACATTATTTAGTTAAGAGCTGAAACAAGTACCATTTTCTTATGTTATTTCAGCATTGCAAAAGATGATGCACGTCTTTATGAAACACTAATGTCAAATCTCAGGAGTAGTATTCTCTTGCAATCCTGCATTTGACAGTCTGTTGTATTCAGCTGAAGGATCATTAGTTGTTCTGTTGGTTTGTTTAAATAATCGGGGAACGAGGAGATAAAGAAATAAAATCTAGGGATTTATTTTGTCCTTTTGGGACAATGCGCCCTTATACTGACCTGCCCTATGAAAAAATTGCCGTAGTGTATTGCTGGTTACCTTGGTTGCTAGTAGCTTACCTTGAGGTGAAACATTATCTCACACAGGCACGGAATAGTGTTTTGTTGCCAGATGTTGGGCCAAGTGATTAACACCAGTGTCGAAGCTGCAATGTGGCCACTCAGATGTGACAGTCCCTCTATTTATGAAGTAAACAACTTCAACATGGTTTAAGAGATGCAACTACTTATCTTCAGTTTGTGATATGGTAAATAAAACTACACACGACTAAACAGTTTGATTAGTAAGGGAATAGAGGATTACAGTAGTACATTGGTTATCTACATGTTCATTTATGTGTATAAGGCTCGAAAGCAAAAACTGATAGGGCTGGAAATACCAGCAAAATACGGTTGTATGCATGTATGAAGGTGTGTGAGGAAAAGGTATCTAAGGACTGATCCTAACTATATCAATCACTATCCTAGCAATGTCATACACACACAAGAACTTCACACAAATGTGCAACAGTATTTTTTTGCCAGTAGCCTTTATACTTTCAGTTTACAGTGAAGGGTTAGAGATACTGTCCTGATACACATAAGGAAAAAAGGTCAAAATGGCAGCAAAGCCTGGACCTAAATGAGTACAGCAAACATATTTTAGTTAGTGCTGCAGCTAATTTGTATTTTACACATTGTCCAATTATTCCCATGAACTTGCTTATCCACAAAAAGGCCCAACTCCTCTAATCAGCTCTACTGTAAAAGATTTGTCATGCTAGAATCAAAATAGCGGAACAGTCAACAGACCAAATGTCTCATTCCTGGTCCTGCATTCCCAGATAATTGCATATCTTAAAATAGTTTCCTTTGTGGGTTTGGAGAAGCAGTTATTATGGTAGAATGGGACTTTTACACTGGACAGCTCTGTTGGACAACTATTCAAGCATTTGATAGCTATTCAAGCATTTGCAACATATCGGACATAGGTAGTTTAGCTTAGTCCCAACACAGACTCATTCGGCCAAATGGTCCGTTCCCATGCTGTATTCTATGCAAAAGAAATGTTCTGCTCTGAAGGGATTCAAAGCATCACGTCAGTACCTGCTTTTCGGTTGGCCTTTTTTGTTTGTTAACCCTACATTCCAGTCTCTCACATTCCTTAATGCTTTTACTTCTAAAGGGCTTCTCCTTTAGTTTTCTAGGTACTTTTAAAGAAAACTGTAGAGTAAAATAGGGAAGTTAAAATGGTTCATCACTTAGACATATAAACGGGACATGGGTTCTCACCTGTGGCTCTTTAACATGGGAGCAAAATGAGAAGCAAACATATACTATAAATTCAATGAGTTAGCTTCAAGCAAGGTAAATCAATCCACATCAAATCTTTCTTCCCTAGATAGAGTGCAGTGCAGATTGTTTTTCAAGAGAGGCAGAGTATTTCTGGCAGCAAAATGTTAAACAGCAATTCAAAACTTGTAGAAATTAGTATTGCCATTGCTTTACAAGAGTTGTCCCAATGTGTAAAGAGTAAATACATTATCCAGTATAGTGTCCAATACAAACTTTACAAAAGCTCGACAAGAGGTGTGCAAATATTAAAAACCTTTAATTCCTCACTAGGCAGCCATTGCTTGACCACCCTGAACACAGTACAGAGATCATCTAAGCAAGTCCCATTTCAGTTTTTTTTCACCACCAGAGATGGCAGTCCAGCCAAGTCTCAATTCACAGTGCTTTCAATCGTTCAGGAAAGTATATAGTGGTGTCCCCCACTGCTATTTTTGATCTATATAAATGACCTGGACTGGGTATAGGGAGTACAATTTCCAAGTTTGCAGATGATACAAAGCTAGGAAAAGTAGCAAACGGTGAGGAAGATAGTCGCAGACTGCAAGAGGACATACAGACTGGTGAAATGGGCAAACACGTAACTGATTAAATTTATTATGGAGAAATGAGAAGTGATGCATTTTGGTAGGAAGAATGAAGAAAGGCAATATAAGCTGATGGTACAATCTTAAAGGGTGTGAAGGAACAGAGAGACCTGGGGGTTCATCTTTGAAGGTGGCAGGATAGGTGGATAAAACTGTTAAAAAAGCATACAGGATACTCGGCTTTATAAATAGGGGCACAAAATACAAAAGGAGGTTTTGATGAATCTTCATAAAATACTGCTTAGGCCTCAGCTAGAGTACTGTGTTCAGTTCTGGACACCACACTTTAGGAAGGATGTCAATGCCTTGGATTGGGTGCAAAAGAGATTTACCAGGATGGTACCAAGAATGAGGGACTTCAGTCAACAAAAGTGCATTGAATAGTTCAAAGGCTGAGACTGAGTTATGCTAAGAGGCTCAGGAACAGAATGTTTTTTTAAAAAAAAAACATTTTCTTTACAAAAATGACAAATAATGAAACCAATTACCTGCTCTTTATGTGGTAATCATGATTTAAAACTTCAGAAGTAAATATAATATCTGGGAAATCTTTTCAGGTGAAATTAAAAAGCTCTCTGCACCATTAACTCTGGTGGACCAAGTTCATCACAATGCTAAAAAGCTCCACTTCCTTTCAGTTGAGTTTTTCCCAAACATTTTGACCAAGGTTACCACAATGAGATTTATTTCAGTTAATTGTATACGTCCCGGCTTCTTCACAGGTCATTTTTAGGGTCCCTTTTCAAGTAGCGATTACTCACAGAGTCCCAAGTATAAAGCTTGGTTAGCTATTTCAATAAGTATCATAGACAAAGTATACATTTGGGGAGGGAAATTAGTCTCCTCCTGTCATCTCTTTATTCACAATGAAAGAAATCCCATGACCTCAAATCCCATCAGATTATACATTTTCCTTTCAATTCCACAGATATTATCCAGTTTACCAAAGCAGCTACAATAGTATTTTTTATTTAAATTAGTATTAGGGTCACAACTGCAAGCGGATCAATGATTCCCAGAAAGTTTTATTGTCGGAACAAAATGTCCACACTGGATATTAACTGTAAAAGTAATGTAGCATTGAAACGCAAGTTTTCTTTCTTTCAAAAAAGCAGGTATGTGCCCTTTAGCTCATTTTTGGTAAGTATATTTAAAGCTTTATTACATTTACACAAAGATAAAAACCAGTTTGGTAATATCAGATGGTAATAGCACATTTTTTAAAATAATAAAATCTTTCATGTTTGGTTTTCCATGGTGTCTTTCAATAATGAAAAAGGCAAATATCCTTAAAACACAAACAATTGGTCCACTGAGATCCACGAAGGGAACAGTATCACAAGATGTTTCAGCTTTCTGGCTTCAAGTGCGAAAAAACCACACATACTTGTGCAATATCATCATACTCATATGTTCGTTTTAAAAATGTATCAGTCAGTCGTAATCCCGAAATACTCTGAAAAGAGAAATGGGACAAGATTTTGGACTGATTCAAGCATAGGGAGAGAAAGGTCAAGTTGAACATTTTCATTTCTATAACATACATTGGAAACTTGTTTCAAGTATTATTAATATTTGCATTTGCTATAGCAGCTTATCATGTCATCAAGACATCTCAAAGTGCTTCACAGAAGATAACCCTGTAGCTCAGTGGTTAGAGCACTCGCCTTGCAAGCGAGAGACCTGGGTTCTATTCCCGGCCGGGAGAAATGTTGGGCAGGTATCCTTACTCCACACGCCTCTGTTCACCTAGCATCAAGTAGGAACCCGGTTGTTAGTCGAGTGGCAGATCGCTTTTCCGGAGATAATAATTCTTTTAAAAAATAATTGGTAACTTCAATGCACAGCTGTTTGTGGGACACTGCTGTGCGCAATCAGCTTCCACGTTTCGTCCGCAAAATATACTGTCAATTCACTTTACAGTATATTCTGTGAAGCACTTTGAGACGTCTCGAAGATGTGATCAAGTGCTATATCAAATGTAAGGATTATTATTATTGTCGTAAAGTCAATTCACTATATTTTTTGGGTGAACACAGCAGATAATTGCACACAGCAGTGTCCAACAAACATTCGTGGATTGAGTGACCAATTTTTTTTGAGGGATTATTACCCCCAGAAAGGTTTCGCCCCACCCAAGAATCGAGCACAGGGCCTTACACTTGAGAGGCGAGTGCTCTAACCACTACACGATGGACTCCACAAAGGAAGCATCATTCACTGTTGGAAAACCTTCACTTGCAAACACAGTATTGAAAAGCATGCTGAAACCACACCACTGAAAAGGAAAATACAAGCTCTCACAAACCCAAAAGAAAACTGACAAAACTTTTTCTTGAAGACAAATCTCAGCACAGATGTGAATAGAACATAAGACAATGATAGAAGATAAGTTCTCACATATACAGGTTCAGCTCCATCATATTTTGCTGAAAGAACAAACATGCTGTGGAGATTCTGCCCTATAGAATACATTTTTTAATTTTACCGATTAAGGAAACCATATTTTAACATTATTTCCGTATTAATAGTTTTTGGTCTGAAGATTTACCTGTAAACCTTGCACAGAGGCAAGCAGTTTCAGTGCAAGATGTAATGATGAATTTGGACTCAATTTTCCAAGCTGTCTCCCTGAAATGCCACACCAGTGGATTGCATTTGTATTGCACATCTCCAGCACCAGATCCATTGTCCTCTCACTGCTGGTAGAATAAAACTGAATGATTAATTGTACCAAAGACAGATAGCTCATTATAATACACCTGCTGGTAGAACATTTCAATACAACAGATCAGTTTACAACAACAAATTGCATTTATATTGCGCCTTTTATGTTGGGAGGATATCCCAAGGCGCTGAACAATAAAGGGTGGTCTGCACCCGAGCTGGGGGTTGGAGTTGAGAGGGATGGAGGGGAGGGGGAAGGTCTCGAGACAGGCCTTGAAGGAAGCAAGGGAGGGGGTGAGGCTGAGGGGCTCTGGGATGGAGTTTTAGAGGGTAGGGGCAGAAAGGTTGAAGGCTCAATCACCATGTGATATGGAGCAGGCCAGTGCCCGCCAAGCAGAGGGAGTGGACAGTTGGTAACGTTTCAGTCGGTCTCAAAGACAGGGATGAGTTTAGGATTACTAATATATTAACATAAAATGGGGAGAGAGGAAAGTACTCTTCCCTCTAACCAAACTTTCCTTTAATGAGTCAAAACACAGCATAGTTAACATGCACAAATATTTCCTTATGGTGAAAATTAGTGTCCTTACTATTACCTGCAATTAGTTATTTTACACATGACTTCAAAAGGTTCTTCAAGGTTTACAGTATCAGGGATCATCTCCAAGGAAAGTCTTACATCACCATATCCAGGAGCCTGAAGTAAACCATACAAGGAGTACAATTCAACTTACAGCAGACAAAAGCAGCATCTACTTTTCAGCCATTTCCAGCAATTGTACCACATAGCAGACAAGCATTCTGTAGTTTATGTAGAAATGGAACACAGGCTCATATAGAACAGCGACTAAAAGTGCAGCAAGTACACAGCTCCAGTCATGTAAAAACAAAACTCAAAGTGCTTATGGGAGACTGAGTAAGAAGTAGGAAGGAAGTTAGGAATAATCAAAACGAGAGGTTTTGAAGAGACTTTGAAAGCAAGGTCAGAAATAGCAGGATTTTGGAAGATAATAACAGCTTGCATTCATATAGTGCCCTTCACATAGGATAGTATTAACTTAAGTAACCAGATTGGGCAAAAATTAATTACAGTGAAGTATAGAAAAACTGCTCAGTTCCCAGGGAAAGCTCAGTGGAAAATGCAAGATTGTGAACACAAACCTGCAAAAACTAAATTTGTACCATTAATAATCCTTGCATTTGTGCCTTATCACATCTTTGAGATGTCTAATAACACTCCACATAATATATGGTAAGGTAAATTGACTGTATATGTTGCGGATGAAATGAGGCAGCCAATTGCACACAGCAGTGTCCCATAAACAGTCTTGGATTGAGTGACCAAATTATTATTTAAAACTTTTTTGTTGTTGAAGGGATTATTACTCCTTGGAAAGGGATCCACCAGTCAACTAACAAATGGGTTCCTACTTACTGCTAGGTAAACAAAGATGTGTGGAGAAAGGAAACTTGCCTAACATTTCGTCCGGGAATCGAACCCAGGTCTTCTCGCTTGGGAGACGAGTGCTCTAACCAATACACCGTTTTGATAAAATCATGCAAACATCTACTGACCATTCTTTGCAACTGACTTGTCTGCAGTCGTCCTCTTTCACCCAAATTTGTTTTCCAGACTATATCCAATTTACCAATTACTGTAACCCCCTTGATGACTCCAGCTCTCTCTGCAAATTCAGGTTTAGGTTTAAGGCAATACAGATATTGACGTGTGTCCATAGGCTGCAAATAGGTCATTTTTCCAAATGTAGAGAACCTGAGGAGAAAATGTGAACGAATTACAGTAGTTTTCATTAATCTACATAAACAAGCAGCAAACGCCCCATTATATCCCATATTGCTACATTTAAAAGGCATCAGTGTGAAGCATTTCAATGAATTAAGTTTACAACATAATTAGTTTCACACTGAATGCTGAGTAATCTTGATGAAACTTTTATCTGATTGCTAATTTTTCTTGTGACCACCACAGAATATGTTCAGCCATTTTATATCTTCACTAGATTGCACTGCAAATAACTTACTACAACAATAGATTGCACTGAAAATAACTTACTACAACAATAATCCTTGCATTTGATATAGCGCTTTTCACGTCTTCTAGACGTCCCAAAGCGCTTCACAGAATATACTGTAAAGTGAATTGACTGTATATTTGTGGGCGAACGCGGCAGCCAATTGCACACAGCAGTGTCCCACAAACAGTCGTGGATTGAAAATGACCAATTTATTATTGTTTTTTGTTTTTTTGGAGGGATTATTATTAGGCGTGTGGAGTAAGGATCCTTGGATCCTCCCAGATAACTGAACCTTACTCTGCTTCCTTCAGAGTGAAATCCCACCAAAAATGGATAGCCTGAGCTAGAACACGCCTTCCTTTATTAGGACCAAGTCACTTCCTTATGAAGTCATTATAATATGGCCAAAATTGCTCCAAAACGATATTTGTCATCTATTGAATCTAAATTGAGTCACTGTGGATGTTCCGATACACTATCCTGTTTGAAGGCCACTATATAGTTGTTAAGTTGTGAATACTTAAAATGAAACAGCAGAATAATTGCTGTTTTGAAACTGTAACAAAGATTGCAGTTAAGTTGTTGAAGTCCTACATTGTTAGTAATACTTAATAATTTCCTATTTCTCCTATTTCTTCAAACTGTGCAACTGTTAGCTGATTTACTTCAAAACAACAATCACCCATGCATTTGATACGTTGGGAGGATGTCTCAAAGGATTTACTAAAGTGTAGTGACTATTTTGTAGGTTTTAAAATCTTAGGGATTGTTTGCTAAGGGACCAGGAAAAATTTCCTTCTCTTTTCAAACAGCACCCTGGGATCTTTAATGCCCACTTGAATAGGTAGACAAATCCTTGGTTTAAACATCTCATCCAAATGACAGCACTTCTGACAATGCAGTGCTCCTCCAGCACTGTGCTGGAATATCTGTCTAGACTATGAGCTCAAAATGCCAACTATAGGTTAAGAATAATTTGCCCAGGAAGAATTCCTGAAGTGGCACCACTGATCAATAAGGAGGTCACTTTCATTGTATCTAGTTCATGCTTATATCCAGAAGAGATCCTGGGGTACTTTGAATAAAATCTGCTTGCACGTCTTAAAACAGTCAGCAAGGAAATTGTTGTAGCAAATTATATGCAACTCCATCAATGCCCCATCACTCATAGCATAGATTAAAGTAACATAATAGTGACTCAATGTATAGGAACCTTGATGCAAAATTTTACTCTACCTGATCTGAGAATCCTCACTCACTCCACAAAACCCCAGGAAAGAGAATATGATTGTAAGGCTTGATGGGAATTGGCAGTCGTAAATCGATGCCTAATTTCTCCTTACCCCTCTCCGCCTGTATCAATGGTGTTCAGTTCTGTGACATTGTACATCATGGATGGCTCTAAAGAAACCTTTTCCATAAACATCGGGGAGGTTGTGATATTCTGAATCTGAGCTTCCAGAAAGACTTCATCTGTCTGTGGGGCGAAAAATAAAAGTATAAAAATAAAGGTGCTCTGACAAGAAGTCTTGCAATTAATTCTCAAAAAAAAATCAATTCAAATACGTGATTAGTTCATGCCTCTGAATCACAATGCAGTAATTAATGAAAGCAGAAGCATTAATCCCAAGATATTTCAATTCACTTCAATCAATATTAGTTTTATTAATTTAGGTCCTGCAATGGATTTGGGATAACTTCATACAATTGTTTATGGTTACTAAATTCTCATCTTTCAATGATCAATCACATGGGATAAACACACTAACTTTAGTCTTGAGTGAATGAACATACAGGTTTGGAAGAACTTAATCGTATTTATAATTTATTGGTAGAGAACCTCCCATTCAGTTGCTCTCACCTTTGTATGAAGAATTGTCTTGTTACACTAGATACTAACTATTCTTAAAATTCCTGTTGTATTTCAAAATCAGATTTTACATCAAGTTAAATTTAACCTGGTATTAAATGCAAAGGGGAAAAAAGTTGAAATCTAGGGAGTGATGGTTGTATGTTATTGAACTGATCTCTTGGGGTGTACATTTACTTTATTTATTCAGCATTTTAAAGCATTCAGAATTAGGCAACTTGTAAAATTCCATCTTAACTTTGAATATAGCTTTCTGTGGTTCTTAAAATGACTTCAAAATTAAGGCTGTATTTTAGTGTTCTCAAATGCTACATAAAAAGAGTAAATCTAGAGCCAAGTGGAATTCAGAATTTAATTCACTTTGAGAATTTTTAGTATTGTGATTTTCAGCTATCCAAATGGCTTTTAATTTACTTCTGGGGGATACCAAATAATATAAATGTCACTCTTGCCTATTTGTAATAACTCAACCCCACACTTTATTTATGCAAATCTTATACACACACACAAATAGTTAAGTACATTAGACCTTTTTTGTATTGAAAGACTGAAAGCTACAAATCTTGTATTTATATAATATGGAGGATATTATTCATTATACCAAATTCTTGAATACATACTGCAATTTTAAGAATGCAAGTTTACAAGCACCCAAAATAATCTTGCAGAAAAACATATTAGGGAAGTTCTGAATAGCTAAACAGGTCTATACAACAGGATTTTTGTTTTACATAATGGTCACTTATTTTGAAATGACTAGCACATCAAAGATGTACTAATGCCTAACCCAATGCATTGAATCAGTGCCTTCAGCTCAAACATTGCACACAAAGCAATTTTTAGTGCAGAATCACTAATTTAAATACCTTTCATTCTCTCAACATAGTAATAGCAGACTCTGGCAGTAGTTATTTGATATTAAGATTTAGGGCAAATTTAAGCCATATATTGGAGCAGGTTTTTGCAATACAATATTTATTGCATATTACCAACAAATATATATTGGGTACGTCAAAGGGTTAGAGAGAATGACAACTTATCTTTTCCTCAAAAATGACTACAAGGCAATTTTTTTTAAACAATCAGGGTTAAACATATCTGGTTTACAATTTTGATCTTCTTGTGGAGTGACCACTTCACTGAAATGTTAAACTGCATATTAGTTATGATCCAAGAGCAGTTACTAAAATCGCTTTAGGATGACATTGAACAATATAGTCTCCTCTCTGCTAGAGTCCTAACATTGAATACAGTTGCACAGTTTCAACCATCTCCTAATAATCTCAGGATGTACTGTAGCTGCCCATAACTCAGATTGTGTTTTCAAAGAGTGCTATTGTACAAACATATGAAGGGATAGCTTCGCTGGCGTTATGGTTAAAGCCTATTTTAAACAGAGTAATTAATGGTAGTTTACATCTTGCCTTTGCTACATCTAATTTAGAAGTGCTTTATTCAGAAACTGTGTCAAAGGATTTGGTTACTGAAGTTATTGGCAGAATTGAAGTGACCTATTTTACATTGCTGGTTAAAACTTTGTTGGTTGTCAATTTATTTCTTTGCATCATTGTAGTTAGGATTTTTACATTGTCACCTTGTATAATGGTCACAATTTTTTTTTACTCGAGACAAACCATATTTCATAATTCACAAATCCATTGCTCCATTTATCTTAAATCAATCGCATTTTCTGGGTCATTGTAAGCATTTTACTTTAGCAGAGATTTCAGGCAAGCTTGGGATGATGAGATTAGTGGTATAATGGAAAAGCATAACAAATTTGGTACAATTCAATCAAGTGACTCAAGATATCTAAGTTTGCTAACAGTTATTTTCATTTGTGAAATGAAGTCCAAGAAAAAACTGTACAAAGACTATAGTTCACTCCATTTTACAAAACTCTAAATTTTACATTTCCCCCTCTTTCTAGTCCAAATCCTGCCCAAGTTGCCATTATTCATAAGCAAACTTGAACAGTGACTGTAAGCAGTAGAGCCCAATTCCATTTCAATTGGCATCCCCATGCACCTCCAGCAGGGGTCAATGGATGGCAGCCAGCAATAGGAATTCTGTCTGTCTTTCACCTCCTTAATCAAATGCCCTGAAGCAAGTTGTAATAATAATAATACTTGCATTTGATATAGCACCTTTTCACGTCTTCTAGACGTCTCAAAGCGCTTCACAGAATATACTGTAAATTGAAGTGACTGAATATTTGTGGGTGAAACACGGCATCCAATTGCGAACAGCAGTGTCCCACAAACAGTCATGGATTGAAGTGATCAATTTTTTTTTCTTGAGGGATTATTATCAGGCGTGTGGAGTAAGGAAACTTGCCCAAGGTTTCACCCTGCCAGAAATCGAATCCAGGTCTCTTCCGAGGCGAGTGCTCTAACCACTGAGCTACAGGACTCCTGTAGATACCTCTAGAGACGTTGTAGAGAAGTGTAGGTACCTCTAGAGTCAACCTGGCTGAGATCAGCCAACTTAGCCCAAGAAAACAACCTTTAAATTTGGACTGATGCTTCTCCATTATGCTTCTGCAAATTTAGCCAATGTTAATCATGGTGGGGGTGATTTTGCTGCAATTAAATTAAAGCACACAGTAGCAATAAATAAATAAAAATTACCACAGAACTGAGGTCACTCTAATAAGAGAAACATAAAAAAAATACATTAGAGAAGGGTTAAATGTTAAAAGAAAAAAACAACTAGTTTACCAAACAATTTCATGAAAAGCTGAACTAACTTCTTCATTATGTTTCCAATGCAACTAACAGTAGCAAAGAAAGCAGGGATCAAAGGATCTGCCATCAGTGTGTGTAGTCAGGTACAACACACTGAGATGTAAAAACTTCTGATCCAAGATATGTACACCTGACCAGCATTTTCATATCCCATAATAATTACAAACAATATAATGGACATTAATCCAATTTTCAAATGATATCCAGTCATGGAATTATTTAAAGGATCAAAACATTTTAGTTATTCTACAACTGGGCAGAAAAAAAAAATACACCAGGGGAAATGATATCCTCCATTACCTGTTCAAGGGAAACTGAAGTTGTACTAATTATTTCTACCGCTGGAAACCATAAGGAAGAAGGTTAATGCAAGGTACTACATACATGTTATTGCTTTTCAAAAAGGTTTGGTTTCAATTATAAAAACATCCGAGAATCTTTGCACAAAAACCTGTTAATTAAAATACAGTAGAAGGCGTTACAGGTTTGGATTGTCAGGTATTTGAGTTCTCAATTATAGCCGCACTGCTGAGGGGAACAGGGAGAGAGAAAAATGGCAAGCCAGTTAAGAGTCTGGAGGGATACCTAAAGAGAGGCTCAGGGATGGTGAAAGCAAAAGCCCGGGAATAGATTATATTACCTGTCTTCTTGGCTGCATAGTGCAGATCACCCTACGTGCCATATCTAAAATGGAATGCACACAAACTCTCCAGAGAAGCTAATTCCAGGCACAATTTAATTAGAGAAAAATTCAAAATAAATAGAAATTAAATAAAAATATAAGTTTGCTGATATCAAATGCGTATTATTATTGCGATTTGAAGGGTCTCCAGATATTGGAGATTAAATATTAAAAGGTTCTTCTTCACAATCAACTAATTGTGTTCAATAAGTAGACACTCCTTACCTCACAAGTTCTCTTTGCAAGCAGGATGGGTCCCTTCAGGGAGAGAGTGCACATTCCATTCCGACAATCTATCCCTGGGATTTTCATGTGTAGGTGGAACACGGAATTTTGGTTTGGATACTCTTAAGCATGGCAATGGGTTTCCGCATGTGTCAGACATCTGGCCGACCAAAAAACAATGCAAGCCAAAGACCCAAAGATAGGGTGTTCCTAGCTGGCAAGCGGTGGGAAGCTTGCGAAATAGTGCACTCAATAGCAAACTACGTGGTTTTAGCTATTTAAACTCAAGCAGTCATCAAACATACAATTAAGGGCCTCCAAGTCTTGGTTCATTAATCTTCACCTAATGCTCTCTGGAATGGAGAAAGTTGCCAATGATAAGTAATGATTGATCCTTCAATAGTCTGTAAACCCTCTAAACAAAGAAAAGCTTTGCACAGCAAGTTCCACATAACCTTGCAAAGCTCACTTGAAATGAACCTTTAGCTGCCTACAACAAAGAGCTACACAGAGGCAATATCTGCAAACCAGGGTTTTTATCTGCAAAGATTCACCAAAGCCAAAATGCTGACTGCAACCATGACCTTAACTAAATGCTTCTGGCATTTCATATGCTAAGAAAGGCAATGAATACAAAATAAAATAAACAAAAGTAACAAGATGAGTAGACAAATACCAGAACATTTCAGCAGCTAAGTTATATAACTTGCTTACTAGCTTGTAAAATCTTTACAACCTGGCTCAAGAAATTCAGGTCATACATTGTTAAAAACTTTGCAAAGACACTATAAATAGTTGGAAGTCAATGTAACCTTTTCTAATGTGATACTTTATGCCCCTTTTATATTTCAGCACTGGCAACATCATAAATATTGCATCTCATGTTGCCGAAGCTTTCTTTTATATAAAACAGGTGTGTACCTGCTTTCCCATTCCAAGTAATTTATGGCAATTTACTCCAAGCTCATATATAATAATCCTTGCATTTGATATAGTGCTTTTACATGTCTTCTAGACGTCTCAAAGCGCTTCACTGAATAGACTGTAAAGTGAATTGACCGTATATTTGTGGGCGAAACGCGGCAGCCAATTGCGCACAGCAGTGTCCCACAAACAGTCACGGATTGAAAATGACCAATTTATTATTGTTTTTGTTTTTTCGAGGGATTATTATTAGGCGTTTGGAGTAAGGAAACTTGCCCAAGGTTTCACCCTGCTGTGTTATTATATGTGGTATGATGGCAGTCAAGAATCATAAGAATCATACAAAATCTGACCACCCTCTCCAAATCAAGTCCACCTCAGCATAAAAATGCCTCAATGAAGCAAGTTATTCTAAAGAATAAACACATTTCAATGCATCATTACGACAGTGGCTGATTTAGTCAAAAATATTTGCAGGCAGCAAAGAACAGAAATGACATGGCTTAAAGCCCCTCTTCGTTAATATAAGTAGTGTAATCATGTACTTACTTCAGCATTGTAGAACTTAGTCTTCACATCAAGTGGTTTAAGGACCTGCGTAAATAGAGAATGCAGACTGAAGATCGCTTTTTCAGGGTGGTTTTCCATCAAAACTGTTAAGATGTAGATTCTTCCTGAATTACACTAATTAAGTGCCAGTTACTTAAACTGCAAGTCGACTGAAGTGCTTGATTACTGAAGAAAATGTAGCACATTTGACAAACTCGAGTAATGGGTGCGCTGTGGCCAGCAGAATCCTATCCATTTTGTAAAAAGTTCAGCACGTTATCAGTTGCAGAGACCTGTAGCCTTCAAAAACAATCTGTTACGTCACAGGGATTTAAAGGTTTAATAACCAAGCCACTGATTTAATCCACAGCTAGTGTAAATTGTTGTACCAGTTCGATAGCTTCACTTCTGTTCCTGACCAGAAGATGCTAAATGCTTTTTGTGTAAAGTTGATGTTTATTGTAGGAGGTGTTAAAAGTCACTCAGTTGTGATACATACTGAAACTCAGAACCATCCTGCAGGACACACTGTGAAGGCATTACACACTGTATTAGATTAGCACAGCATAATCCTCCATTTGTTTAGCTGTGACTCCAGCAAAGTCTGGTATTTGTTGTTAGCAACCATTTGGGGTACTGAAAAACAGATGTACATCAACAGTCTATGTGACAGTTCTTGCCAACTCCCATTGATGGGTTTTATTTTGATTTAAGGTGTTAAATATTGCTCATTTCTTTCAGTTAGATTGTTCCACTTAAGATGAACAATTAAAGGCTTCCTGAAAACTTCAACACAAGGATTGAGAGGAGCAATTTGAGAGATACATTGCCATCTTGAGAGAACAACAACTTGCAGTTATATAGTGCCCTTCATGTGGGTAGTGTCCCAGAGCACTTCGGGACATGCAACTTGCAATAAATTAGCAAAGTAACGAGGAGAGTTTCTGTAAGACTTTGGCTTAAAATCAATGGATCCGAACTGGATATTATACAATTATTTTAAAACTACAGCAAGACAGTCCTGGCTCATCTTATGAAACCGTCTGAATAGTTAGCATATTAACATAGCTTAACTGTATGGTTTTGACAAATGCATTTTTAATTTTTGACAATATAAAATGCAGTACGGGCTGCATGGTAGGCTAACCAATAAGCATAACCAGTTATGTCCATGTGCAGTCCCGGGTCACAGAAAATTAACAAATGATAATAAACAATGGGAGTTTAGCAAAAGACTTCTCAGGGTTATCCCGAAAAATGTAATCTACCTGAAATTTGAAGAACTTCCTAAAATACAACTTCTCTCCAGCCTGTGTTGTGTAGCTGACTGCACAGACTAAACTGTAAAAGAAAAGACAAGTGAATAAAATCAGAAAATGGGATACAAAATAAAAGATTGCTGAAATCCATGAAAGCACAATAAGTTAGGCTTCAGGACACAATAAGGACATTAACAAATGGATTCAGTAGGAAGATATGCATACTACTTATTTTATCTATCCAAATGGAGTTCAGATCTTTAACTGTACGAGGAAGGTACATAGAGAGTTCACTGTTGGCATCCATCAACATGAAATTCCTACACTATTATTTGATGAAAACTTGTAACACATTCTGACAATGTGATGTGTAGCTTCTTGACTGTTGGGTTAATACCAATGAAGAGGACTTCAGAAATTATATGGAAGAAGGTGAAGTGGTAAGTGTTCATCCTTCATATGTGAGTCAAAATAGCAGTGTTGGCAGCCTAACTGGTCATGGGAGGGTGGGGGGGAAAAGAAAAATGAGAAATAGGATTTCCTGCTTTCTAACCAAGGATACTGTTCTGCCCACACTGCTTCCTTGGCTGATGTAGTAGTCAGTTCAGCTCTACAAAATAAAGATAAACAGTCACATTTTACTGCTTAAATGAGCTGAATTTACCACTAGACCAAGGGGAGGATCTGAAACAGATTGAAGATGATAGTTACTGAGTCCGTGGCATGGGAATGTGCAACATGACATACAGAATATCAAACTAAAACATTTTCTGGAAGAAAATACGCTCGGTTATAATGGACTTAAAATAACTAGTTGAAGGGCGACTAGGAAATGAACAAACAGAAGGTTGAGACATTGCTTCCAATGATGGCGGAAAAGATTTCCAGATGGAAACCTCCATAGAGTGGGAGCTTTTGTAACGTATACACTACATTTGGTTACCCTGGTTTGTCAAAAGCTAGGCTGGAAGGGATCTGCCACAAGTGCAAAGTGATGCAGCAGCAACAAATGGAGCAGCACCCTTATCAGCACCTTCATTTTTGAGTCACTATACTCATCACTAGAGGCAGAAGTCGAACATGTCATTGGTTGAGCACTGCACAGTTTTCTAGTAGTAAAATACGATGCAAGATTCCAGGGATGATTTTTGTCACAGAGTACGTCACCAAGAGTAGCTCCTTTACTCTGTAGCTCAGTTATGCAACATTCATGAAAGAACATCTTTACGTGCACAATTTTCACATGCAAATACATGGTTCTTGGGCGAGTCAAGTCAAACTTTTAAAGCACCTTTAGTTTTCCCAAAAAACTTACATGTGTGTTCCAATTTCTTTAACTTCATGGTGAATCACGTCATCAATGCAACTGTCAGGTTTAAGATCAGCCACAGCAGCATTAGAAGCTGACAGATTCAAACGCTGGGAGCTGGTCTGCAAGTCAGCCTGATTTAATAAAAAAACAGAATCATTAGAAAACTATAAATTGGTGGCTTTTTCTTTTTATTATTAAAAAGTCCAGCAGTTACTTATTGCTGGCCAAATAAGTTTAACATTCCAGTGACCAGTAAGATACAGGTTTGCATCTGAAAATTTGAGATGTCAAAGGCATTATAAGGCGCTACATCAAATGCAAAGATTATTATTATTATATGTGAATTTCACAGAAAGAAAAATAATAATGAAGTCTGATCACTCTCGCAGGGTTAGAATCAGTTATACAACAGTAGTCTTGGTCAGTTAAGTCTGGTCCATAACACTAACGGGATGCAGGAGGAAAAAAGGAAAAGAAAAATGAACTTAAAAAAACTGATCGATGAGGAGGAGAAATTGCATAGATCAAGTGCCGCATGTATTGGTTTCCAAAAAATTAGTCAGAAAAAAAAACTGTCACCAAGTCCAAACTGTCACCCCCATTGGTAAGGAGGAAAAATATAGTAATCCAAACATTCTTACCTTAACTAGTATATCCTTAACAACTTGTGTGCTGTCATTATGTACACTGATGTAACTTGAGAAAGTTTCTCCTAAAAAGATATTTCTGCCCAAAATATGAAAGGTACACTTTAGTAAAGCAGACCTACAAAACATAAATTGTGTACTGGAGCATTCTGTAATGAACACTTATGAACAAGTGCAAGGTCATATAGCAGCAAAGAAAGCAAGATCCCACTGTTAGACCCTCCAATCAGATGGGGAGGCATTTAGGAAATTATTTAATCTGGTTCTCTCAAGGTTTAACCAGCAACTCCTGCTGGAAAGTGTACCACTCAAATAACATAACCCAACATAATTCAGAACCAACAAGAAAGCAATGAGTCCTGTGGCTCAGTGGTTAGAGCACTCGCTTTAGAAGCGAGAGACCCGAGTTCAATTCCAGGCAGGGCGAAACCTTGGGCAAGTTTCCTTACTCCACACACCTAATAATAATCCCTCCAAAACCAAAAACAATAATAAATTGGTCATTTTCAATCTACAACTGTTTGTGGGACATTGCTGTGCGCAATTGGTGCCACGTTCGCCCACAAATATACAGTCAATTCACTTTACAATACATTCTGTGAAGTGCTTTGAGACGTCTAGAAGACGTGAAAAGTGCTATAGCAAATGCAAGGATTATTATTATTATTAATGAGGAAAAAGTGGAGGAAGAACCATCTATTTGGAATTCCAAAATACCAAACTTGATGCTCATTTACAAAGAAGAAACACAACCAAATCAAGTTGCTGCTGTTGTTGATATGGTAGTTAAACATTTGTGTACAACATATTTTCTTTTTCCCACTACCCAAATTTGGTACTCATGAATAGAAATGGATAGCAGTTTCTACTTTATGGGTGTTCTGATCTTGTATAAACAATATCTACTTCAAATATCATGTGTCCCTCTGCCTCCTTGTCCTCCTGGACCTCTCCGCCGCGTTCGACACAGTCACTCATGCCATCCTCCTCCACCGCCTTTCCTCCGTCATCCACCTCAGTGGGACCGCACTCGCCTGGTTCGAGTCCTACCTCACGAACCGCCAGCAGTACATCTGCACAAATGGCTTCTCCTTCCGCTCTCACCCAGTCACCTGCGGGGTACCCCAAGGATCCATCCTTGCCCCCATCCTCTTTCTGATCTACATGCTCCCTCTTGAGGATGTCATCCGCAGACATAGGGTACACTTCCACATGTATGCAGACGACACCTAACTCTATTTTTCCACCTCTCTTTGCGACCTCCAGTCCCCTGATGTTCTGTCAGTCTGCCTGTCAGCTCTCAGGGGCTGGATGAGCGCAAATTTCCTTCAGTTGAACGTTGACAAGATGGAAACCATACTCTTCGGCTCTCGTCAACGTCTAAAATCTCACAGCTCTCACCTCCTCCACCTACCCGACCTCCCCTTAAAACTCTCTGAACCTGTACGCAATCTAGGCGTCAGGTTCGACCCCCAATTATCCTACCTCCCTCACATCCGGTCCCTCACCAGCACTGCTTTCTTCCATCTCGGACGCATCGCCCGTCTCCGCCTATACCGCACTCCAAAAGCCGCTAAAACTCTGGTCCATGCCTTTGTCACCTCTCGGCTGGACTAGTCTAATGCCCTCCTCGCCAGTCTCCCATCCACTACCATCCATAAAATCCAAATCATTCAAAATTCTGCCGCCCGCATTCTCACCTGCACAAAACTCAGCTCCCCGATCACCCCAGTCCTTGCCAGACTACACTGGCTGCCTATCCCAGAGAGGATCGATTTCAAGACCCTCACCCTCGTATTCAAGTCCCTGCACTCATCTGCACCCCCCCCCACCTCTGATATCCTCTCCTCAAACCATTCCTCTGGGTCTGGCCTCCTCCTCATCCCCCACTCCACCCTCGGCGGCCGTAGCTTCAGCCACTAAGCCCTGAAGCTCTGGAACTGCCTTCCTCACTCCCTTCGCCTCGCTCCCTCCCTTCCCATTTTCAGGTCTCTGCTGAAGACCTTTCTTTTCAAGCGCGCCTTTGATCACCTTCCCCCCCTCCCCTGGCTCGGTCCCGGCATCCGTTACTGTAAAGCGCTCTGAGACGCCATCCGGTGTGGATGGCGCTATATAAATCCAAGTTGTTGTTGTTGAAGTTGTTGTCCTTTCTCAAGGTGTTAAGCACAGCTCAAGTCTATTTTTTTTGCATTCATTCCCTCTGTAAAATATATTATTCCACATCTCCTCTTGCAATGGGTAAGTGAAACAAACACAGAACAAATTATGTAGATGATATTCTTACCCAAAATTCTGAGGGAGAGTCAACATTTCTCCTAACATAAAAATCTCTGCTCCCTTTACTGTAGAGGGATCATCCTTCATAAGTTGACTGAAAAGGTCTCCTATTATAAAATGGATGATAGTTAACTTGCATTCTTGTTTATGAAATACTTATGAAATCATACAAAGGTGACATTTCTACTTTGACAACTTTGTTTTACAGGATCTTCATAACATCAAAGAAACCCACAGTTAAATGTACCAGGTTCTTCCTGAAGATGTACAAAAGAATATCCATTTCACTGGATTCCATTGCCTCAATCAAATCTGTTCCTTGTAAAATATTTGTATAAAGAAGCAAACATTTGAATTAAAAAAACTTTCAATAATTAATTCAGGTCACAGGATAGAACAAAGTTATGTCGCTATTTGCTGGAGAGTGAACATTAGAAAATGTGGATTGACAAAAAGCCTTCAAACCCACACCCTTTAGATAAGCAAAACCTATAAATATTTTTTTAAAACCAAGATATTTGAATTACGAAAGACAGGATCAACTTGGCTGCAACTTGTCCCCAGCCCTCCACTCATGTGCGTGAATAGTGGGAGGGAAGGAAGCAAGTTAAATGACAATATTTTGTAGATTACGATGTTATAAAGAAATGGTTTTACTTTTTGGAAAGGACCTACATTCACTCCCAATTTAGTTGTAGCAATTGAAACCAGAACAAATTATTAAAGTGTATCCCCATGTGGCTTTGTTCCATATTGAGAAATAATAAAAAAAGATGAACATCTGCAGGTTGAGGTTGTCCTGAAACCAATCACTTATACAACTGCAAAAAACTTTTGGTTCAATGGTGATGTGAAGTACATCCCTGCATTGCAGTGAAATGGATTCTATGACACTTCACATTTTTATTTTGAATAAAGACTTCTTAGAAAATTCAACGAATTGCCCAAAACCAATAACATTAAACATTCTGGTGGAAGAAACCAACTGAAATATACAATCCCATAAATATAGAATACTCAGACTAAGTATGTACAGATTATTCTTATAATACAAGACACTGTAGGCTTTCTACAAAAGTCCAGTGAATGTTAACCATTCACATTCAGAATGCACTATGTATTGTGCTGAAATGTATATTACTCAATAGCATATGAACCACTAAAGAAGTCTGTACTACACTGTTTTGTTGCCCCCCAAAAAAGTGGGAACAGTTGTTTTGACTTACCTGGAAGGTCTCGGTCTTCACAGGTCACTGGCAGGTTTGTAAATAAAGTTGGTTTTGTTAGCCTCATCACTGTAACATGAAAGTAAAAAGAATTATAGTGCAACAGAAAAGAACTTGGTCATCAACCATTACCTAATATTATTTGACACAAATAAACCACAACCATTTACAATGCTTAAGAAAGTGACACAGTTAATACTAGATAAATACTGTCACCACACTGCAAGCTCGATATATGTCTCATGTGATTGATTGCTTTAAAGCAAATTCTTCCCGGGAGAAAATCCAGACTTAATTTTCCACTGATCCTGATATATGTAGGTAGTAATAATCCTCTCCCCAGAGTACCACTGGTCTGCTTTGATTGTTTTGTGCTATGATTGTTTTTGCCACTCTCCTTTGCGAATAGGTTGCCTCTCATTAATTAGATGGGACTGTGACGTGAACAAACCTAGGGATTTTGTAAAAAAAATACAGGGAACCTAACTTAACAGGCTCCCTGAAGTTATATCATCACCCATAGGCAGTTCAAACCTCATACTTATGAGTATTTTATCGTGTAACAGTCAACACATGGTTTAATATTGGAAGCAAACAGGTTTGAGAAAGGACATTTACTATTAAATGCACCAACCAGCCCAAGGGCTGAACAGCTACGGCAGGCAGGATCGCAGTTACATCTATACAGACATTTCACACCAAACAACATTATTTTGCACCCCCCTCAGTGGGAAACTTTGTGAAACAAGAACTAATTTTTGTAATTGAATATTGTTATTCCAATTTAATATTAAATTGTTACTAATATTTACTGTTACTCTCTTCTCTAATTCCATTACTTTGCTCTATCGCTTTAATATAGTTTTCTTCCAGTATTTATCCAATTTCCCTTTTGAACATGGTTTTGTACTCAGCCATTTGTAGTAAAGTATTTCATATTCTAACAACTCTGTGTGTATAATAGAAAAACGTTCCTTTTAATTCAATTACCCACCAACCAACTATTCACTCTATATTGTCCACTGTGCTTCTCTGTTGAAGGCTATTTAACTTGGATGGTATCATAGCCCTGTTAAACCTTGGGGAATGAAACCTATTGTATCTGCTATCCTGGAATTTAAACCTGTAACTATATGGATCAAATGGCCTGCTGCTATACTTCGTTGAGTTTCCCTGTGTGGAGAGAAGGGACTAAGGTTAAAGATTACACATAAAGCATTCTAGGCATGTACAGGCCAGAAGGTTGTAGGTTTATCACCGTGTGTTGAATTAACTTATTTCAGCCATGACAGAAGTCAGGACTGTAACGTGGTTATAATTTGGAGTCCCGTAATTCAGTGGTTAGAGCACTCGTCTCACAAGCGAGAGGACCTGGGTTTGATTCTGGTGCAAGGTGAAACCTTAGGCAAGTTTCCTGACTCCACAAGCCTCTGTTTACCTAGCAGTAAGTAGGAACCCGGTTGTTAGTCAATTGGCAGATCGTTTTTTCGCGAGTAATAATCCCTTAAAAAAATAAGAATAATTTGGTCATTCAATCCACTTTTCCACGTGTATAATAGAAAACTTTTTTCTTTTTTTTCTATTATACATCCAGAGTTGTTAGAATATTAAATACTTTACTACAAATGGCTGAGTACAAAACCGTGTTCAAAAGAGAAAATGGATAAATGTTGGAAGAAAACAATATTAAAGCGATAGAGCAAAGTAAAGGAATTAGAAGAGTAACAGTAAATATTAAATATTAGTAACAATTTAATATTAAATTGGATTAACAAGTTTTTGGAGCATTGCTGTGCGCAATTGGCTACCGTGTTTCACCCACAAAATCTAGTCAATTCACTTTACAGTATATTCTGTGAAACACTTTGAGATGTCTTGAAGACATCATAAGGCACTATATCTAACAGAAAGATTATTATCATTGCATGCATAGCCATTTGTGGGATCCTGTGCACAAACAAATTGGCTGCTAGTTGTTTAGAAATGCCTTCCCCCTAGACTTGACAGCATTTACCTGTACTGTGCTTCAAGAGGTTATCCTTGCATAAGTATGAAGTACTTATGCAAGGATTATTATAAAACAGGCACAGGACAGATTTACTGCTTTTTAAAAAAAAAACAGTAGTCAATCCTCTGGTAATCTAGTTCTCTGCGGGCCTACAGTACTCCAAGGCACTTCTGACTATAGCCCCGGAAGAGCAGACCTGTCACTAGGGGCAGGGATTATTCCCTCTCAGCTTCTGGTAACCATACAAGCCAAAGTTCTAATGGATAGGATGGTCCTAGCCGGACAAGCATCAGGAAAGCTTGCAAGACAGCGCTTTCAATGGCAAGTTATGTGGTTTTAACTGGTTAAACGCCAGCATTATTCCAACGCACATTCTGGGGTCCCCAAGCCTCGACTCTTGACAACCTGCGCCCGATACTCTCCTGAATTAGGTAAGAGAATGCACTTTCCATTCCAATATAAAGGAATTTCCATGTATAGATGGGATGCATGGAATCCTCAGTCTGGTTTGGATACTCTTAAGCATGGTGATGGGTTTCCAAATTGTCAACCGCTTGACTAACCAAAAACAAAAGTAGGCATACAAATCTATAAAGATTACTTTGAGTACAAAAATATTGGAAAGGCAGCAGGAGTGAAACTTCATTCAGAGGCTTTCGTTTATCTCGGAAAAACGCCACTGAAACCCTAATTCATGCCTTGATTATCACCTGATCTAACGCACTACTCACCAGCATTGTGTAAAGGGCACAATGGTTATAGACACAATGGTTATAGTTCCCGGGAGGGTGAAACCTGGGGCAAGTTTCCATACTCCACACGCCTGATAATAATCCCTCAAGAAGATAAAAAACAATTATAAATTGGTCACTTCAATCTACGACTGTTTGTGGGACACTGCTGTGCGCAATTGGCTGCCACGTTTAGCCCACAAATATACAGTCAATTCACTTTACAGTCTATTCTGTGAAGCGCTTTGAGACGTCGAGAAGATGTGAAAAGCACTATATTAAATGCAAGGATTATTATTAAGAGCAATTGGTTATAGTTTCCAAAAAATAATTTAATAGACAGCTTTGAAACGTTTTGTCAGTGTATTCACATATTTAATCACATTTTTCATACAATATACATTTCCATGTGAACATTTTCTTTAAAAAACTCTACATTCATCCCTCGCATTTCCTGGTTGCCTTTTTTAAGAGGGGAAGAGAATTCCTGCAAAGTCAGAAATCCATCGCTTACCTAACAAACCAGTTCTTACTTTAGGATACCATGCGAGACAAGCAGAGCTGTCATCAATCCAAGATGACCAGTAACACAATAAACAGGATACATTTTATTCTTGCCCAGATTTTCCACATCAATAAAGGCACTAAAATTAAATATATTTTGCCTTAAAACAAAGTCACATAGAACAATCCCTGATCATGGAAGCAACTCTCAATGGTTCTAAAAGTTAAAGTACAAATCAAACCATGGCTACTGCTATAGTTGTAAAACCAAAAGAGCACATCTGAATTCATCTTAAGAACATTTGTAAATGTTCATTAATACCAATTAAAATATAGCAAAATTGCTTGCAAGTTAATAATTTCCATTAAAAGTCATCAACTATAAACCTGTCACAATGAAGTTTTACTTCTGAACAAATAGAATATGACATTTTACTTCCGAAGAAACAAGCTAAGTAACTACAACTTATAAATAACACCATGTCTGTGTACAAGTAAATTGATTTTACCAGTGAGATTTAAAGTTTGTTTAATCTGATTACCAACATGTTCACAACATTGAAAGTCACAAAAGATCCATATCTGACCAAGGTCTCTATGTATTTTGGCATTACAGCCAGGTAGATTACCATATTTAAGAAGGTTGGTCAGTACAGCCCAGTGCTCTTCCAATTTCCGATTGCTGCAGTTGGATTGATCAATGACCCACTTTGTCCTTTGAAAAGAATGTAGCTGTAACTTTGCTTGGATCATCTGGAGTGCTTTGCTCACCGTAAATGTGTTCGATTTTTCCGTTCTGCTGCACTTTGTAATACTCCAAGATCGCTGCGATTTGCTTTGCCAATCTGTAGCGCCATGCTGTAAGCCGGTCTCAGTAAAAAATTCCGCATCAGCTTCTTGTGTAACAGTACCAACCTTCTGTAAATTGGCAAAAAACTCTTGGAGATGCTCTGTACAATCATAGCTTTGCACTTGCTCTTTAGGTTCTAATGCAGCTAAATAATTTTCAATCCTTCTTGTTTCTTCATTTGAAATTATTGGCGGATGGTTCTTAGGCTTCAATGGTAGATTCTGAAGGTCATTTGAAAACCATGGAGTGAATCTTGTTAAAGGTCTCTTTGGGAAATCCTCTAATGCTCTCTGGGCTACTTTCAGCACTTCTGGACCACACTCTCGATTGGACCTATAATGTACCACTAACTCCATATGAGTGGCAACTCTGGGCGTCCAGAAGTGATTTCATCTTTTTTTAAAAAAAGCTTGAAGTAACAGTCTTCTTTCAAAAACGTCAATCTCTCTCTCTTCATTTTATCAATCTCAAATCTTTCATTCAGAATGAAATGGATTGTCACTGAGCATGCTCCCTTCTCAAATTTAGTATAGGTTAAATGAGAAAGGAGCTCACGCAAAAGTCCAGTATTGAAGACCTTCAGGAAGTGCTACCCTGCAGAGATAAAGGTCTTTAAATATCTCACAAGCAATCTTTTACAACGAACAAAAAGTAATACACCATTTTCTTCTTGGCAAGTCTGAACTTCATATAAGAACATGCCCTCACCAATATCCATCTATTAAAACACTAAATGTCACGTGCAGGAGTTTCACAGTGCAAAAATTGCATGGAGTTCATTCAAGAAAATCAGTGCTTTGAAATGCTAACCATTTACATTCAATGTGATGCAAACGCATAGCTTTCAAAAGCGTATGAATAAAAAAAACCTTCATCAGCACCCAATACAATACAAATTTACATTGTTTTGAACTGGCTCCAATCTGATATGTTTCCCCTTGGAATGTCGGAATCAAGTCAACTCTGTGGCAGTCTCAGTCCGATTTCTGAGATTCTTTCCATTCAGTTCCAGTTAACCATATAATCCAAAGTCCTAACGGGTAGGATGGTCCTAGCTGGACAAGCAGAGTGAAGCTTGCTAGACAGTGTTTTCAATGGCAAGCTGTGCAGTTTTAACTGGTTAAACTCCAGCAGCACCCCAACAGACACTCTGGGTTCTTGCCAATCTGTGCCTATTTTCTGGAAAGAAATGGATCAATGTTCACCACTCTGTGGCAACTACATAAAAATACCAAGAAATATGACAATCCCTACACAAGACAATTGAATTTTACTAAAAGTACAACTAGTGAAGCTTGAATTGCAGATGATTTAGTAGCTTTTGCAGTGTACAGAAATAGGTAAACAGAAAGGGATAAACAAAGTTCTAAGACATATTGCAGTGTTAATAGTATCTTGCTCTACAGTCAAAAAAACAATTAAATCAAACTGTTTTAATAATAATAATAATAATAATCCTTGCATTTGATATAGCGCTTTTCACGTCGGGAGGACGTCCCAAAGCGCTATATCAAATGCAAGGATTTGTGGGAGAACGCGGCAGCCAATTGCGCACAGCATTGTCCCACAAACAGTCATGGATTGAAAATGACCAATTTATTATTGTTTTTGGAGGATATTATTAGGCGTGTGGAGTAAGGAAACTTGCCCAAGGTTTCGCCCTGTGCCTGGAATTGAACTCAGGTCTCTCGCTTGCAAAGCGAGTGCTCTAACCATTGAGCTACAGGACTCCACGAGTTTTCCCCATCTCAGCACGTTTAATCCTCATAGCCATCTCCAGCAATGAGCCCCTACCAAGCTAACAATGAACAAACATTGCAACCTCATTTAAAACATACGAGTTTCTTCCCAGCCATTATTTATCCCACCTTCTAAATAATCTTAAAGATCAGAGAAATAAACTCTTAACATTGTCATTAATCTAAAGTAAACACAGATTTAGGAATAACAAGAGGGAAGAGACACAAATAATTTTAATATAATTACACAGAGTGTGGCGAATAGTAGATGGCCTGTGGTAGCAATGGTGGTGGGTGTATCAGCAATTTCAAGAGGGAATTGGATAACTATTTTGCAAAGACAACTAATTAAGAGGTATGAGCTATTGTAATATTATTTTCAAAATATCCTAATCCTAATTTAACCAGACAGCTACACATTCATACTTTTCAATAAGGATCGCCAACTGATAGCAATCAGGAATGGTATCCGCACTCAATTGTTGCGCTCTATCCCAGTGCCACTGAAATGAAAGGCCAGTCTTAAGCAGCGCACCTACTTTTTAAAATCTCATCAGCAGAGGCACTGTGATAATAATCAACAACTTGCATTGACAAAGAGCCCTTCACACCAGATGGCGTCTCAGAGCGCTTACATGAAACTTGTGCCACACCAACACTTTTCAATTACTCCTGTTTAAATGACAACTACCAAACACAGGATAGGTGAGGAGTTGATTCACTAAACATCACTGAACACCAGGTGTAGTGTATATACTGCCTCTCTTCCTCCACTCCCCCCCCCTCCATGAATCATTCTCCTCATCCATTCCCCCTTTCATTCAACAACACGCATTTACATAGCGCCCTTCACTCGGGGGGAGTGTCTCGGGAGTGCTTAAAAGTGGCAGAGCCTGACGCCAAGACCCGGGGGGGGGAGAGGGGTGACAGTAGGAATGGTCTTCGAAGAAGGTCTTACGGGGTGAACTGACAAACGGGGAAGGCAGAGGGAATCAAGTAGGGAGTGCCAGGGTTTGAGTGCGCAGCGACATTCATTCCCTCCCCCCCTCTCCCTCATCAATCATTGTCATTCCCCCCCTCCCCACCAGCCCCTGTGTGTTTCCCTCCGCTCTCCAGAGGCCCCGTGTCCCCTCCACGGTGTATGGATTTAATCCCTGTCTCCCTCTAACGATGTTGTCTCGGAAGACCGGGCCGGGGGTGTCCGGGCCGGGGCTGTCCGGGCCTGGGGCTGTCGGGCCGGGGCTGCCGGGCCTGGGGCTGTCGGGCCGGGGCTGCCGGGCCTGGGGCTGTCGGGCCGGGGCTGGGCTGTCCGGGCCGGGCGGGGCTGTCGGGCCGGGCTGGGCTGTCCGGGCCGGGGCTGTCGGGCCGGGCCTGGGACTGCCGGGCCTGGGCCTGTCCGGGCCGGGCCTGGGCTGTCCGGGACGGGGCTGTCCGGGCGGGGCCGCTCTCACCTTTCAGGGCCAGCAGGTGCTCCAGTTTCGGTTGATTCACGTCCATCTTCAGATCGCACCCGCATGCGCAGACGGCAGTACGGAGCCCGAGATGAGCCGGAAAGCCGCGGGAGAAGAGCGACTCGCGAGATTTCGAAACGAAACCGCAGAGCCCCGGATACAAACCCACGTGATCCCTGGGAGGCCCCGCCCACCAATCCAATCAGAGCTCTCACAGGGATTTTTTTGCCCCCTTCTCTTGTAAAAAAAATCTGAACTTCTCATTGCAGGTAATTTGGTTACGTTTTACTCACGTGATGCTGGATTTTCAGTTTTATTATTATAATAATAATCTTTGCATTTGATAGAGCGCCTAATCACATTGTCGCGACGTCTCGAAGCGCCTCACAGGGTAATAATAATAATAACCCTTGCATTTGACAAAGCGCTTTTCATGTCTTCTAGACGTCTCAAAGCGCTTCACAGAATAGACTGTAAAGTGAATTGACTGTATATTTGTGGGCGAAACGCAGCAGCCAGTCAGATATGATTCTGACATTCATATCCCTGCTATGGGATGATCTGGAGAAAAAGTTCCCAGAAAATTAACTCAATGAATTGTCTGCTTTCGGTTTTGCTTCACTTGCACCAGAACAAACCAGCTATGAATTTGGCACTGAGAATATTGAAAAGATGGTTGACAAATACAGACAAATCCTGATCCTTGGTCAAGTAAGGTCTTCTGGGCAAAACGTCATGGATGAAATGGAACTCATTGTGAGCCAATACAATGACAACAAGTACTTAATTGCAGAGAAGATTGAAACAAAGTCATTGAAAACGTTTCAGGACATGGTGACATTCAGGCTACAAATTACAGAACAGTGCAATGTGGTTTCACAACTAGAGGATATATGTGCAACGTTTCAAGCTTCAAGTGCTGATTGTGAGTGTGGGTTCAGCCTTATGAATAATATAAAAACAAAATCCCAAAACCAATTGAAAGAAAATCACCTTGATATGCTCATGCGGATCAAATCTCATCTGTCAAGTGGTAGAGAAGTAAATCTGGACAAAATATGTCCTGTAGCTCAGTGGTTAGAGCACTCGCCTTGCAAGCGAGACCTGGGTTTGATTCCTGGCAGCGCGAAACCTTGGGCAAGTTTCCTTACTCCACACACCTGATAATAATCCCTCAAGAAAAAAAAACAATAATAAATTGGTCATTTCAATCCACAACTGTTTGAGGGACACTGCTGTGAGCAATTGGCTGCCGCATTTCTCCCACAAATATATAGTTTATTCACTTTACAGTATATTCTGTGAAGCACTTTGAGATGTCTGGAAGACGTGAAAAGTGCTACATCAAATGCAGGATTATTATTATTATAAACACTGGAAGAGAGGGAGAGACAGAAGAGAAAAACATCCGAACCAGAGACAAGTGACCCTTTTCTTCTCCGTCATCTGGCCTGTCATCCTCAGACTCTGGGTCTCACTCAGGATGTCCCTATTCCTCTGGTGGAGGTGTTTACTTCTGAAATTTCTACAACCAGTTTTGTTTCATTAAAAATCCTTGACCGCTCGCCTTGTTAACACTCATCCATTATTTTGTATATTGGTTCTGTTTGTCAGATACCCTAAGATGTTCTATTCAAAGTTTTGAGCCCTTTTTTTTTCTTACGCCGGCGCACACAGCCTTCACATCGGCGCACAAACCCAAATTCATTCCGCGCCCGGCCGGAAAAAAACTGAAAGAGGGAACGTAGCAGCGGCGCGCAGTTTGCGCCCAATTTAAGACTCATGTCAGGCTTTTCCCTATTGGTGGCGACAACCACTGATTTTATGGTGTGAATAAATCTCCCCTTTTTGCCGGTTGACCCCCCGACCCCCCCCGACACAGCGCTCTGAGGGGCTTCCGTTCCCGCTCGCACAGCCGCACCGCTTCACGGCGCGATCCTTGTGCGGCGCTTTGCGAAGGCTCTCGACGAGGTTGACGGAGGCGCTGCCCTCCACGTCCGAACCATTAACAACTGTGTGAGCGATGATTAACCCCAAATGAAGAGGAACAGGAAGTGCGGTCACGTGAGGCGTTGCCTTGACCGGCAGCTGAGCATGCGCAGTTCAAAATAACGAGCGCGGTGACGTCACAGCGGGGTCTTGGGCTGCACCATTGACGCTGTGGGCGGGGGGGGGGTCTGAGTGCCCGGTGCAGGGCCGCACCCGAGGGACGGGGACCTTTCATCCCCTGTATTTTAACTATGGGGTAACACACCCCCCGGGGGTTGGTTCCACGTCAAACTGCTCGGGGGTTCCCGGGGGGCGGCGCGGAGTGGGCTGTGGAGCGGTTGCCGCGGTTCCCCCCTCTCTTACGGTCGCCGGTGGTGTTGGGCTCCGGGATGGCGGCCGCTGCTGTCAACAAAGCGCTCCGGCAGCCCCGCGCCGGCACCCCGGGCTCCGTCAAGGTGAGTGGGAGCCGTGTCTGACCACCCACCCCGGGGCAGGGCAGGGCAGGGCCGGGCAGGGTCGGGCAGGGTAGGGTAGGGCAGGGCCGGGCCGGGCAGGGCCGGGCAGGGTAGGGCAGGGCCGGGCCGGGCAGGGCCGGGCAGGGCAGGGCAGGGCCGGGCAGGGCAGGGCAGGGCCGGGCAGGGTAGGGCCGGGCAGGGTAGGGCCGGGTAGGGCCGGGCAGGGCAGGGCAGGGCCGGGTAGGGTAGGGCCGGGTAGGGCCGGGCAGGGCAGGGTAGGGCCGGGCAGGGTAGGGCCGGGCAGGGTAGGGCCGGGTAGGGCCGGGCAGGGCAGGGTAGGGTCGGGCAGGGTAGGGCCGCAGAGAGTACAGGAGAGCGCGGGGGTCTGGGTTCTCGGAGCTGCCGTCGTGGCGCCCCACACACACACACACAGGGACAGACCAACAGCAACAACAGGAGCCGCCATTCAGCCCCTCCACAGCCCCTCCACAGCCCGCGCTCCCCATCCCATCACATCACATCACACTGCCCCGCACCTCCGCTCCTCTGCCCTCACCCCCTCCCCCTCACCCCCCTCACCCTCAGCAGCACCGGGGGGTTACCCTGCAATGATGGGTGCTATATGATTGCAAGTTACTGTTGACTCTGTGCCCTTCCCTCCCGGGTGTGACTGCATGTGACCCTGAGGTGCCACAGTCACACCCACTCCCCCACTGGTTCCTCATCCCCCCCTCACACACACACACACACCAATGGTAACAGGGACCAGTGCTCCTGTTCCACACCTTCTCCCCAACCTACATTCTGTAACGGGGACCCCTGCTCCACCCTTCTCTCCCAAACCTTTGCCGAACATATCTAGTGCATGCGTGTGAATGTACAAAGAAAGAAACGGCGTCGACAATTGCCTTTTTAATTTAAATTTCTAGTTTTATCGATTCAATAAATTCACATTCCTCACTGAGACGCTGGAACAAGCCGTTGCCTCTCAGCTTCGTTCCTGTCTCTCCCTTCAAGCCCTCCAGTCCCATTTCTACTTTGCCCATAACATCCAGGCTGACCTGGTCAGTCACCAGTGCCGTTCTCTCCATCATCAATCAGGGCTCTCTTTGTCTGTTGTTCTCATTCACCTCTCAACTGCACCTCCTGCATCATCCATAGGCTTGGGATTCCATATGTAAGTGGATGAAACTTTTTTTGTCAGCCCGGTGTCTGCCACATGTGGAAACCCATCACTCCGCTTAAGGATATTCAAACCAAATTGAGAACTCCATGTATCCCACCTACACATGGAAATCCCAGAGATAGATTATTGGAATGGAATGTACGCTGTCTCCCTGGAGAGATGTATCCTGCTTCCTGCTTCCCTAATTCCCGAAAGCATTAGGACAGATTGGCAGGAGCCAAGGCTTGGGGACCCTAGGATGTGTGTTGGGTACTGCTGAAGTCTAGAGTCTACTGTAATCAGCTAAATCTGCACAATTTACCACTGATGTGAAAGGCGCTATACAAATGTAATCTTGTTGTTGTTGATAGCACTATGTAGCAAGCTTTCCCGCTGCTTATCCAGCGAGGACTATCCTCTCTGTTAGGACTGTGGTTTGTTTGTTTTGCTTGTTCTTCATCTTCTGAATGTGGCAACTGGGGTTTAGATACCTGGACATCATTGTCTTGGTATCTTGTTCAAGTGGACATTCCTTATGTGTGCATGGATGGGAAGTGTTGGCAGACCATTCACCATTAGTGACTTGAGCCTGATCCTTTTCCTCACCTGATATCCACATATGCATTTCCGACTGGACGACTGAATAGAAACAAAAAATGGAACACATAACTGGATATTTTCCCCTTTCACCCCATCCCTACACTTCAATTCTATGTGACAGCGTGGTTCACCTGGTAACACTCGGAGTCAGAGGTTATGGGTTCAAGTTCCACTGGCCTTGAAACTCGTATAGTCTTAAGATGACACTGCAAAGCAGTGCTGGGAGTGTGCTGCATTATTGGTGCATGCCCTTCGGATGGGTAGATAAATTGTGGACCCGTCTGCCTGTTCAGGTGGAAGTTAAAAATCCCAATTGAAAATTGGCTGATGTATTCGCCCACAAAACAGTCACTCCATTTAACATTTTATCCTGTGAATTTCATTTGGGCATCCTCTGAAAAAAGACACTGTACCAAATTTGAGGATTATTATTATTGTTCTGTCAAATATTGGCCATTTTAATTATAGTCCAAAGCTTTAAGTCTGCAGTTTTCCTGGTGTGCCTTGTTCTGTACAAAGCTATGTAATGGATTGACAGAATAAATAGTGGGAAGCTGGTTAAAACCTAAAGTGATAACCTGAGTTTAACTATCGCTATCTTTTCAATCTTAGGTTCTAGAATGTGGAGTTTGTGAAGACGTATTTACTTTGCAGGGAGACAAAGTGCCGCGCTTGCTCCTTTGTGGCCACACGGTCTGCCATGACTGTCTTACTCGCCTTCCACTTCAGGGGAGAGCAATACGTTGTCCATTTGACCGGCAAGTCACTGAACTAGGTTGGTCTGGAAACTTTCATATTTTCCATTTCTAACCAGGAAAAGCAACCAAATTGTTAAGGCCTTTATGTTTGATTGCTGTTTTCTAATGAGGTTTATAAGCAATTTGAAACCTAAGGCAAGCGTGATAGGATGCAATACAACATATGGCAAATTTTGAAGTGAAATATGCAGTAAATCTAGCAGATACGTATATTATAGTATCAGTGTTGTGAATTTGCCTATATAACAGTCCAAATGAAGCGTGAAAGTGTAAGAATAGAAATGATTTTTTTTTAACTTTTGAGAAAAACGAGATTCAGAGACGCTTAAAATAATGTTTGCACTCAAAAATTTCCTTGTGGTTGACTTCGGTTGTAAACTTGGGGTAATAAATTAATGGATCTTTTTATTCAGACTGATGGTAAATTTATTTCACAGGTGATTCAGGTGTCTGGGGTTTGAAGAAAAACTTTGCTTTATTGGAGCTGCTAGAGCGGTTACAGAATGGTGCTGTCAATTATCAAGGAACATCTGAAGAGGCTCTAGGAATCTCTGGAGAGGTACCTGAAAAGGGACGTCTCAAGACATTTGACTTCAAAACTTTTAAAAGTTTTGAGAGCATAAGTAGTGAAAAATTCTTTCTTATAATTGGTAACAAGAGGCCATAAATCTCAGATTATCATTGAAGAATTTAGGGTGACAATTAAAAAGATTTTTCAGGCCAAGGGTTAGAAGACTATTTGAATACTTAGCCACAGGTGACTATTGAAGCGATGACCATAATGTTTGAAAACGGTTAGAGAAATATTTGAAGAGAATCAATTTTAAAGGGTGCAGGGAAAGCGCAGAGGACTGATAGGAGATAGCTCTAGTGGAGGGGATTGCTCCGGTATATGTTCAATAATATGAATCGCCTTCTTTTTGCTATAATTTCTATGATTCCTTTTTTACATCAATACAATTTTAAAACCCAAATGTGTACTGCACAACCACCCCCATGGACTCAAACCATCGCATTATAATGGGATTGCTCTGTATGTTTAATTTTAAGAACTGTTTAACAGTGAAATTGGTTGTTCTGTTTTATTGAAAGGCTATCCACAAGAAGCTGAAATGGACATTATCCATTAATTAATTTATTGATATCTCTTCTGAAGTTAGTAACTGATCTACAATTTACACTGAAACATACTAGATAAAGAAGTAACTGTTGTAATAGTACTGCGAAAATCATTCAAACCATTATTATCCTACTCACACGATTCTTCGAAGTATCGCTAAGGCATTGTATCTTCTGATTAGATTGCACACTAAACCAGCCAGTATTGTGCAGAAAGAATGTCAACATTGATTTTATGTTTGCATGAATTAAATATCTACTTTTTTGCTATTTATTTCTAAAGCAAGTTATCCGTTGTGATGAAGATGAAAGCCATGTGGCGTCCATGTATTGCACTGTGTGTGCAACTCACCTTTGTGCAGACTGCTCCCAGGTGACACACTCTACACGTACGCTGGCCAAACATCGCCGTGTGCCCCTGGCAGACAAACCACACGAAAAGACAATGTGCTCCCAGCACCAGGTGCATGTGATTGAGTTTGTCTGTTTGGAGGAACCATGTCAATCCAGTCCCCTTATGTGCTGTGTCTGCAAAGAGTATGGGAAGCACCAAGGACACAAGGTATTTCTAACTTTTACGTGAACCTAATGTGAATATTAAGCATTGATCTCAATTGTACTTTAGTCCGAGATGCTGCCCTGTGTGAAGGTCGCTATAAGGCCGTGAAGGGCGCTAAATGTTGTGGTACTGATTTGGTAAGAACTCAAGGAATACCCTCATGCTTTAAAAAAAGGTAGAGAAATAGAGAAAAATATTTTTATGAGTTATTATGAACTAGCTTATTAAGCAGCGTGACTCAATAAATGCACTGAAATAAATCAATCTTAGTCAAAATATGAATATAAATATTTGTAGAAGAACTTGAAAAGGTGAAAATTGGGACCCAAAGCCATCTACTCTGTACTCCTACATCTCTTATGAATTAGTTCAGTAGGGAAAAGCCCTAGAAATAGATTGCTTACCTCTCCACTTTGCAGGTAATTGTATATGATTTGTTGAAGAAACTAACCAACAGTGTGGGTGAGGGAAAGAATGAAGCATTTATTGAGAAACTATTACCAGTAGTGTCAATGAAGATATGATGTGGCATAGTAAAAATACTTGCATTTTTGATATGTGTGTTAAACATTTTTTAGTGATTTTCTTCTTAATGTAAAACCATGAAATCCCTTTTTAGATTTTTATCTGCTTTTTCAAATGCAGTGTACAGTCTTGGAAACTGAAGCAGATCAAATCCGTGCATCTATTCTGGATATGGCACACTGCATTCGTACTTTTACTGAGGAGATTGCTGATTATTCTAGAAAATTAGGTGGAATTGTTCAGAAGATTGAGGGAGGAGAACAAATAGTAGAAGACCGAATTGGAATGGCTCACACAGAACATGTAAGATATTAACAGCTTCAAGTGGACCTATCTTTACAACTAGGATCTTGCCAATTCATACTATTTTTAAACAATGAACATTTATAGCGTTTACACACAAATATCCATAAATTTTAAGCGTAACATTTGTTATTTAGTTTATTGTAGTTGCATGTTGTTTAATCCCTAATTACTTTTCAACTCTCAAGGTCTCATAGAATAAACTGAACCCCCATCCAATATCCATCCCTGCATGTATCTTCGATGTAGCTATTTAATTGATCTTTAGACTGACAGTTTCTAGTTAATATTAGAAATCCTATATATTTCTGAAGTTATATCAAATCTCCTTGGGTTTTCCAAATTTTGTGTATGATGCTTGTTTTTGTTTTAAGCTCCACTGACTATACTTGCTTACTTATTTGCTACTTAGACAGAGCTACCCCCACCACCCCCCCCACCCCTTTTTTGTAAAAAAGAAAATGGTTTTCCAGACTTGGGCTCAGGTTCATAGGTGGTTAAAAACCCTCTACTTCCTTGTTCAGTCATTCTGCAGATGTGAGGTCTAATGGGGGTGTTGAATTATTTGTTCATTAGCGGCATGATAGCTGAACCTGATCATCTCCTCACCTAGTATTCCCACAAGTTCTTTTCAGTAATGGCTACTGGCTAGTGACCAGGAAAAGGAAACTTTCCTTATTTCATTACTCTGTCAGGATGTGATGACTTTAGCAGGGCCAACATTTATTATCCATCTCTAGTTGTCCTGAGAAGGTGGTGGTGGTGTATTTAATAGTGAAAAACAATTATATTTAATCATTTAAAACAAATATTATCTGATGTTTTGGTTGTTAATTGCTGAACTGTCTGATCCTACGGTAGGTTCCAGGTAGTGCTGAGAATGCACGTTCCTGTGTTCGTGCGTATTTTGCAGAATTGCATGAAACCCTCTGTAGGCAGGAGGAGATGGCACTCAGTGTTGTTGATGCTCATGTGCGGGAGAAGTTGATCTGGCTGAGACAACAACAAGAGGACATGACCATTCTACTATCTCAGGTTTCAACTGCTTGTCTTCACTGTGAAAAAACACTACAACAGGTAAGTGGTGAACCAGCAAACCAGAATTTTGTACATCTCCTTTCACATGAAAGTCTTATACTCATAAGATTGCTCATATACATATACTCATACTTATTGCTGATGCAGTTGCATTGCTGTAATGTCCAAGATACAATTTGTGCAGTAAAAGTAATGAATTCCAACTACCCTTGAATAGCTCCTGATCGCTATTTTACAGCATTACACTGAAGGAAAATGGACATTTGTTAATGCCTATCAAATCTATGTATTCAGATTGGCTCTTAAATATGCTACTAAATGTGATTGATGATACCCCAAAACACAGGCTACTTCCCCTGTATTTACCAGCAACCACAAGTAAGGCCTGCAACAAAATCTACACAACAAGGGCACAACCATGAACAATTGCGTTAGAACAGGCGATGGCGGGTATCAGGTGTCTGCTTGGCTCAGTTGGTAACATTCTCACTTCTCAGTCAGAAAGTTGTGAGTCAGGCCGTGTGTCGGGATTTTGAGACAATCTTGGCTGACGTTCCATTGCAGTGCTGGTTGAGCTGCATTGTTGGAGGTTCCATCCTTTGGATGAGACATTAAACTGAGATCTTGACTGCTTATTCAGGTGTACGTTAAACATCCCATGGCAGAGAACAAATTTGGATATCTCTGGTAATCAGAATGTGTACATAAGTGGCCTGGGGTGACACTTTCTTTGATAAAGTATTGCCAGCCTCTAAATAGGCATGGGTAAGATGTGGAAATCTGTATGGAGGTTTGCATGGACAAATTGCTCCTATTGCTCTATGTGCAACAACATGTTCCATTGTTCTGTTGCCTCTCTGAACTTGACACATTTGTATTAGGCGACAGACCTGTTTAACCTATTAAATATATTTTCTCAGTTGCATCAGCGTAAAGTGCAGCAGCAGTTCTTCACACTGTATACACAACTGTAACAGCACACAACACTTGTTTGCTTTTTAGTTTTGTGACTAGATAATAAACTCAGTGTGGACCAGAGTGAAATCAGTTTTCCTTCCACAGGATGATTGTCGTGTGGTGGGGGCAAAACAGGAGATTACTCGTTTGCTGGAAACACTACAAAAACAGCAGCAACAGTTCACAGAGCTCGCTGATCACATTCAGTTGGATGCCAGCATCCCTGTTACCTTCACAAAGGTAAAGAATCCTTTCTGTCTTTGCCTTTCTGTGTGACTAATCTTCCTTCATTATTTCTTGGGGGTGTTTTTTTTCTGTCCTGCTCTGGAGACAATTCCCAGCTTCGGAACCGAGGAAGTGATTTGCTTTCGGATGTCCACCAGTTGATAGGAGATGTAGATAATTGTCCTGGAATACCCTGTCCACTGACTGGATTTATCCTTTTCTCTGTCGCAAAATGCCTTTTTTCTACTTGTCCCTCCCTTCATTCCATAGCTGAATTTAGATATTTGGCAAAAAGTGAATTGAGGGAAAATCCCCTATTGTGATTATTATTATTCCATGGGACATATGTTAAAAATATGGTGCATCACTATCAGGCTAAATAATACTCTCTTAAATTTGTCATGTTATACTACTTTATACAAATGTTTCCAATATGTTGTAGTTGCATATTTCTTTGAAGTGAGTTAGATGAGCCAAATGGAATAAGTTAGATTGATTAAACGGTCTTTTCTCATTCTTTACTGTATCCTCAAACAGTCTTAACCGTTACCCAACCCAAATGTGTTGTGGTTGGCACAACAATTCTGTAACTTGTGCTGAGTTAGCTAAAGTTCAAGTACATTCTGACGTGACTAATTTTTAATAAGAAAAATACTGACATTTAAGACCTATAAATGATGTGTAGTTGGCTGACCTCTGCAAGTCCCTTCTATTTAAATTAATGTGATTTATGTTTACTCTGTCCCTATTAGTTCTATGAATACAGTCAGAGATTTGTGACAACATAAACACAAATGTAGCTGTTTGCCTACAAAATACTTATTCACTACATTGCAGGAAATTCTATGAAACGCTTTGAGGCATCCTCCCAATGGGAAAGGTGCTATATATAATGCAAAGATTGTATATTTATTTTATTATAGCTTTAGACCTATGCTGATCAGTTTTGATTAATTAGGACTGTATTTTAAATTCAGTACTTGGCTTTGAGGCATCCTCCTAATGTGAAAGGTGCTATATATAATGCAAAGATTATACATTTGCTTATTTTTTTTACTGCATCTTTAGACCTATGCTGATCAGTTCTGATTAATTAGGGCTGTATTTTAAATTCAGTACTCGGCTGACAGGCTGCTGCATTTGCCTACAAAATACACAGTAAAAATCCTGTGAAATGATTTGAGATGTATAAGGTGATATATCAAATGTGGAAGCAAAGGTTTAAAAGCAGTAAGCAAAAATGAGAAGCACTGCAGAACTTGATGGTTTGTGTTAACCGTAGCCTACACATGAATTCTATACAGCCCAACGGAGATTACAAACACATCTGTTCAGAAACTCTTTTGAAAATCTTGGATTTATGAGAGATAAAGGTATTCAGATATTACTTACACTGAGTTGATGCACTGCGTCTTAAACTGTGACTATGTTAGTGAACTAGAAATAATGTCCAAAGTGCGTCTTTTTCTTGCTTGCAATTTTTTACGAATTGCTTTGCAGTAGAACCCTCTAGTTTCCTTGCAGAATTTATCTGGCTGTGTCTTATTGTATCACACACTTTTGCTCCATTATTGCATGGAACTATTCCTCAAAATGCTTGTGGTCTTCCTCGTGTAATTCTGATAAGGGTGTACAATAAAATTTCACACAACTCACGGTAACCTATTCTAACAGTATATCATAACAAAAAAAATTCAATTTTCTTCTACTGAGAATGTTTATTTGAATAAAAGTCAAAATGAATGAATGACAACTTGTGACAAGGTCAGTGTATCACTAACACAATGGAATTTTATAGCATTAATAACCTCATCATTTTTAAAAGTAGTGAACTGAAAACAAATGACTTATTCCAGAGCTGTGTAGTTAAATGCATACAATCACATAATCTTTTAACAGGATAATCGGGTTCATATTGGGCCAAAGATGGAGATTCGTGTGGTAACTTTAGGACTGGATGGAGCAGGCAAAACAACCATTCTTTTCAAACTGAAGCAGAATGAGTTTATGCAACCTATTCCTACCATAGGTAATGTTGAATTATTTTATCACAACCATGTCTGTTCACTATTGTTAGACACTCTGGCACAGCACTTAATAACTGGGCTGTGCTGCATATTATTGAGCACTGCATTTTTGCTTGTTTGAAAATTATTAGCTAGGATTGGCCAATTGTATTTCACCTGTCATTCACAGTGTCATTGGGAGAGGGGTATTCCTGGTGGTAAATGACAAACACTGGGATCAGTTCCTACACATTGGAACTTCTATCATTAATTGATTGGCAGAGAGGATATCAGGTGAAGTTTGATGGTGCAGTGCTGCCTTTGAGTATAAAAGTTGTGAGTAAATAGTTAACTTTCAGTGCAGTCTATTTTTTTCTCACACACACACTTCTATAGCGCCCTCCACGCAGGGTAGCATCTCAGAGGTGGGGGGAGGTGACAGTAAGCATGGTCAAAAAGGGAGGTTTTCAGGCTGGACTTGAAAAAGGGGAGAGAGGGGGCAAGGTTGAAGGAGAGTGTTCTGCAGTTTGGGGGCATAGTGGCTGAAAGCAGGGGGAATGGGGAGAGTTGAATGTTAAGTATACCTGTGTTTATTAAAGTGATGTAAGAATGTAGAGAGAATTTTTTATTACAGATATCATCCTCTTGAGACTTCTGTTGGATTCCAGATAGATGAGGTTTGCATATGCTAACAAGTGGCTGGTTCAGTTGGTAGCACTCTTGCCTTCGAGACAGCAGATTATGGGTTCAAGTCTCATGCCAGAGCTTGAGCTCATAGTTTAGATTGACACTGTATTGCAGTGCTGGGGAATACTGTTCTTTGGATGAAATGTTAACAATAAATAATGCAGAATGTTTCCACTTAGCACCAGTCTGCTTCATGCCCCCTACACCCTCTACCCCCTCAGTTAGCTGTGTAAAGTACTTTGAATGTAAATTGTTATTGTCCATCTGGAAATATGAGTAGTTTTAGGACAGCTTTCGGGAACCTTTTTTCATATAAAATGGTAATAACCACGTTTTCCTCTCCTCAGGTTTTAATGTGGAAACTGTAGAATACAAAAACCTGAAATTTACCATTTGGGATGTAGGAGGCAAACATATATTGCGACCGCTTTGGAAGCATTATTATCTTAATACACAAGGTAAACAATATTTGTGTCATTGAATAACTTATTATCTGTCAACAACTCCTAAGTATTACTGTGTATCATTATAAAATGTTGGCACCACCCTGTAGCCCTTTTTGACTTGTATGTTGAGATTACAGTGTATTAATTCGTACTTGACTGCACTTGATTTCTTACTTTGACATTATGCTGTAATTGTTCACAAGGGAGGTTACAAAGTAGAAATGCCTTTTGACCCATTTGACTTCATTCTTCCAAATGATCAACCCTGCCATCTTCTTAGACAAAAAATCTGCTTTCCAATCTGTCTCAAATACCCTGCCTGTTAACTAATTTCAGCTGTTTATTTCCCTCTGTGTAAACACCAGCAATAACCAATTACATTTATATAGTGTAAAATAAATGATTTAAAGTACTTTATCTACTGATTAAAAAAAAATGAACTGAATGTTGTTGTGTAGGTGAACACAACAAGAATACAGCAGCTAATTTGCACCATTCCAGGTAGTGAATATATTCCAAGCCATATGGGTAAACAATTATGTGTTTTCCTTTGAGAATGTATCCTGTCTCTTGTCTATTTTTTTTGTACCTGGAAACTGGATCTCTCTGATCTACCAGGGCTTTTTGCCAATTACATGATGCATATATACAACTACTACATGCATTCATGTTCATGTTTTTGATTCTCCTAAAGTCAACATTGTTGTGCACCAAATATACAGTCAATTCACATTACAATGTATTCTGTGAAGCGCGTTGAGATGTCCAGAAGATGTGAAAAGCACTATACAAGGATTATTATTTGTATTGTTATGAACAAATCATTTCAAAGTGGGCCAGTGGGACCTCTTTTGCTCTACTTGACTGTCTTCTGATTGGGATTTTGTAATTAATTATAATACTGTAAAAAAATGATGTGAGAAAATATTGCAGACATTGAATTTTAAAGCAAACCCTTAAACTTCACAACCAATGCTATCTTTTGGTTAAACTTTTTTTTTCAAAAAGACAGTTTAAAATTGCATGTGTATATGAGAGTTGGTATTTGTAGATGAATTATTCAGAACATGGTTTTATTGCTCATCTTTCATTCTTGCAGCAGTTGTATTTGTGATCGACAGCAGCAATAGGGAGCAATTAATGGAAGCACACGGTGAGCTAGCAAAGTTATTGACCGAAAAGGAGCTTAGAGACGCCTTGCTTCTCATTTTTGCCAATAAACAGGTATGTCCTTAGTCTGAATAATTATGTTTATTAAAAGTACAAATTTAAGCTTGATTTAATATTTTTGGATAGGTGGTTAAAAATGTTGTAATGGGCATTGCTGCAAAATAAAACAATGTGCACTTAACATGGGGGAAAATGTCTAAAAGCACTTCAGAGTAAAACCGATCAGTGTGGGAGAGAGGGGCAGTGACAGAGCTGAGTTTTTAGGTGTTTTTAAATGGAGAGGGAGAGTGTGAGGTGGGAGATTAATAGTGTTCCAGTGAATAGGGAGAAGTGGCTGAAAGCTCACCTAGCAATGGCAGGGCAGATTGGTGGATGCAAAGTAGGCCAGAATTATCAGAGTGCAGGAAGTGGGTGAGTGTGTAGGACTGCTAGAGACCACAAAAGTAGGGTGGGGAAGGGTGTGAAAGCAGGTGAATGAGGATTTTGTGTCAATGAAATAGTTTATTGAAACTTTGGTGTGCAGTCAAGTATACCGAAGCTCCTGGGCCAAGCAGTTCTATACATTTTCAGTTTGTACACTTTGATGTTAAAAGCTACTAGCAGTAAGGTACTAGCTGCACTACTAGCAGTCATAACTTCCTCTTTCTGTTATAATTCATTGCACAGGATGTGACTGGAGCACTTACAGTAGAAGAAATGACAGAGTTGCTCAGTCTGCACAAGCTTTGCTGTGGGCGTAACTGGCATGTTCAAGGATGTGATGCCCGCAGTGGCCTGGGACTACATGAAGGGTTGGACTGGCTCTCAAGACAGTTGGTGGCTGCAGGTGTACTGGATGTGGCATAGGTGTGGAGCAAGTTCTTTAGCTGATTAACAAGTTTTCTCATTTTGGCCTGCATTTCCATTCTGCTTATGTCACTATAGTACCTCTACCGTGTGTAATGTATATTTAAGAAAGCTGGCATTGGGAGAGTAAACAGGCTTTAACTTTGTGGAGAAATTCACACTGTTGAAATTGATCCAAAAATTGACTTGAAGTGTATTACATTATTCTTTAACGCTCACATTTGTGACCTAATTTGGAAAAAAGTAAGTTCAATTTAATTCTTGTGTACGACAATGCATTAATGAATTGTGAAGTGATTTTTTTTCCCCAATATATAGCTCTTAACAGTCAGTGCAATGACACTTTAAAACATTTTAAATAGTGCTTCCTTTTAGGAATATACAGTTGTGTGATGCTGTGAAAAGTTTTCAAGATTAAAACAATGCATTGACTTTCTACTTCATTGATCGTCCTGGTTCTTAGCAGGACTAATATTTTAATTTCATGGTGCACTATATAATTTTCTTCAGTGCTAATGATGGTAATGATTGAGGTATGTACTGATAACCAACTATTGCTGTAAATAACTGCAAACCTGAAGTTATTCTGACTTAAAACAAAAAAGTGAGTCTAAAAGATATCCATATTAGATTTAATTATTACTACAGGCACGTGTCTCACCATTTATACCCTGAATGCTCGAGTCAATAAATGGGTCACATTCATACAATTTGCGGTACAGTATTAAGAAATGTTGCACTTGTTACTATTTGAGTGTGCTTAATAAAAATCAACTTAATGCTTTTTAATGCAAAAATATTGTTTTGAACTAGCATTATTTTACATCCGAGTGTGAAATATCTGCTTTCACTCAGTCAACTTTTGGTTATATGTTGGTGGGGGTAAGGTGCATATACATATAATTTAATGTTTACTACTGTTTACGTACCTTAGGGAAGGCTTATTGTGCACCTAGAGATTGAAACAACCTTCTCCAGTTTTGTATCTTCCAGATTATAAATCATCTTTCCACAAACTCACCCTGCATAAAGCCTCAAAGAGCAGTTGATGGGTAGGGTTTTTATTTAATGTGAGATCAAGGATGAATAGAATATATAATCTGTACACACTGTCCCAAGTGATTTTTCCAGATGTTAATTTAGCTGACCAATCCTATCATTATGCAAAATAAATAAATGCAAGAGTGGTTCCTTCTCCTGCATTCTTTTCCATTTTCAAAATTCCATTATAAAACTGAATATGGTATTTATATAAACTTTGAATGACCATACATTCAAGGGTAGGTTTATACAAGCTTTAAAAGACAGAGGGGTTGAAGTCGATCCACAATCATCTCACCAGGCTCACACTGGAGCCTGGTGAGATGATGGATATACAAACTTTTATGAGGGCAATAGGATTTCGAATGAGCTTGTGATATTGCAATTATAGAGGCCAGTGAGGAGCACATTTAAAAAGTGTCAAGTGACAGTACTAGACTTTAATATAAAATATTTATTTATTCAATGGGATTATCAAAAGTAGCACTATTTCACAATGTGGAAACTTACAAGATAGGCTTAATAAATTTATAAAATACGACAGATCAGAAAGTGGTACTTATTTTCTATTTTACTTTACAGTGATGCTAATAATACTGATATCCTCATATGGCTTGTCAGTTTTAGGATTGACCTTGACATTAGCAATTCTTTGGACCACTTCCATTCCTTTTGTTACTCTGCCGAAAACTGTGTGTTTGTTGTCAAGCCATGGCTAGAAAAGAAATAACAAGTATTTTATTAAGTGGCAAATACCTCATTTGTAAAACTACACTGCAATAACATTTTAAAGGAAAAACACACCCTGTGAACAATCCACATGCAGTACAATTTTCAGAAATCTCAGCAAAAAGAGGCCAATCAAATTAGCAAGTTTTTTTTTAAATGAGGACAAGCACTGCATAGATATGATGGGTCAAATGGTATTTTGTGGTGAAAATGCAACACAGGACAAAAACATACATTGAGCCAGAGGTTTGTGTTTTCCATATATTGCTTAGCATTTCACATTCTCTCAATAACGTAACAATGGTCTTGCTTCTCCAACCAGATGTTTTGTCACTCAACTACAAGGTTGCCTGGGCTTATTGGCCAAGGATCACTTCAACATGAGTAAATTACTACCTGACACTGATCAGCAACAAGGTCAGCTAAAAAAGTGCATCACAATGCTTTGTTATAATATGCATTTGCTTATAGTGTGAATCGAATGTAAACCCAATTCATTGCACATGGGCCAGCTCCCACATAAAAAATATCTGACTTCTAGATCATCAGGCCTCTGCTTCTGTCACTATGTGCAGTAGACAAGTTGGCCATTTTGTTTCCTTTGTGCTTAAAAAAAAAGCAAATTTACAGTCATCCGACAGCCACATGATATTGAATACTTGAAAGATAAAGAACTTACTGTAGGTACAACAGTTATAAAATACTGGGACCCATTGCTGTTGGCGCCTGCATTGGCCATGCTGAATGTGTAGGGTCGATCATGCCTCAACGTTGGGTGAAATTCATCTTCAAATTCACTTCCCCATATGCTTTCTCCCCCCATTCCTGTGCCAGTTGGATCACCAGTTTGAATCATGAAGCCCTAGGGAAAAATATATAAATACAAACCAAATTACATTTATTGTATAAAGCACTTTAATCTGCATTAAAATATACTTATACAGTGCCGTTCATAGAATGAACATCTTGAAATGCTTTACAAAGACAGTGGGAATCAGTGAACAGAGGAGAGGAGAGATGTGCTTGTTGAGAAGTACAGAGTTCCAGAGAGTGGAGGCATAGTGGCTGAAGGCTTGGCAAATTACGATGGGAATAGAGGGAGTGAGGAATGAGCATTAAGTGGAGTCAGAAGATCAGAGTGAACAAAACGGAGAATGCAAGGGGGAGGACTAATTCTGTGAAGCTATTTGAAGGCCTTTGAAATCCATCTGTGGGTTATTGGGTATCAGTGGAGCTCAGTGAGGAGGGATAATGTGTGTGTGAAACCTAGCATGGGAGAGAATACAGACTAAAGGTGTGGGATGAGTTGTAGCTTATGTAGCTTATACTGGAGAGGCTGGCGAGAATACTGGGGAAATATAGCCTCAAGGTGACAAAAGCAGGGATGAGGGTTTTGGTTGCAGAAGAAATGACATAGACATAAGCAGCCAATGTTGGAGAAGGTAGCTTTTGTGAAAATATAAACACAGCGTTTAAAACGGAGTAGGGATTCAGACATACTTCTCATTCAACCAGAGTAAATAGCCAAGGGAGCTGATGGAGGTAGAACCAAAAGCAAAAAAGTGCTGGTAAGCGCAAGACAAACTGGCTTCAGTTTTACTGACGTTCAGCTGAAGATAGCTGAGGTTCATCCAGGACTTTACAGTTGACATTTGAACTCTTAATTTGCTATACAATTCATCAAATTATCACTAGAGATAGAGTCACGATACCTTGATGACACGGTGAAATACATGACTGTTGTAATATCCATTTCTGCTGTGCACACAGAAGTTCTCAACAGTTTTGGGACACCTGCAGAGAAAAAAATTAAGTATTGGTTACACATACCCAGAAACACAATTTAAAGAGCACTCTGGACTGGAATGAGAATGACAATGCATTCACTTTGAAAGTATTATCTCAAACAAAAACAATTTGATTTTAACTTTCAGAGGAATAGAGTTAGAGAGCAGTGAACTACAAATACACGTCAGGTTCCCAAACCAGAAAAGAGCTAATGTGGTGAGTTTGTCAAGCAACAACAACAACAACTTGGATTTATATAGCGCCTTCCACGCCGGATGGCGTCTCAGAGCGCTTCACAGTAACGGATCCCGGGGCCGAGCCAGGGGGAGGGGGAGGAAGGTGACCAAAAGCGCGGTCGAAAAGGACTTCAGAAGGGACCTGAAAGTAGGAAGAGAGGGAGCGAGGCGAAGGGAGTGAGGAAGGCAGTTCCAGAGCCTCGGGGCATAGTGGCTGAAGGCACAGTCACCAAGGCTGGAGCGGAGGACTCAGGAGACGAGGAGGCCAGGCCCAGAAGAACGAAGGCAACGGGTGCTGTTCTGAGGAGAGAGGAGCTCAGAGAGGTAGGGGGGTGCAGAGGAGTGGAGGTATTTGAATCTTTCTGGGACAGGCAGCCAGTGCAGTCTGGCAAGGACTGTGGTAATCGGGGAACGGAGTTTTGTGCGGATGAGAATGTGGGCGGCAGAGTTTTGAATGATTTGGATTTTATGGATGGTAGTGGATGGGAGACCGGCGAGGAGGGCATTAGAGTAGTCCAGCCGCGAGGTGACAAAGGCATGGACCTGGGATTCAGCAGCTTTCGGAGAGAGGTATTTGTGGAGACAGGCGATGCGTCGGAGATGGAAGAAAGCGGTGCTGGTGTGGGACCGGATGTGGGGGAGGAAGGACAATTGGGGGTCGAACCTAACGCCGAGGTTGAGTACGGGTTCAGAGAGTTTTAGGGGGAAGTCAGGTAGGTGGAGGAGGTGAGAGTCGTGGGATTTGAGACGTTAACGAGAGCCAAAGAGTATGGCTTCCGTCTTGTCAACGTTCAGTTGAAGCAAATTTGCGCTCATCCAGCCCCTGACGTCTGATAGGCAGGCTGACAGAACATCAGGGGACTGGGGGTCGCAAAGAGAGGTAGAAAAATAGAGTTGGGTGTCGTCCGCTTATATGTGGAAATGTTCCCCATGTCTGCGGATGACATCCCCAAGAGGGAGCATGTGAATCAGAAAGAGGAGGGGATCAAGCATTGATCCTTGGGGTACCCCGCAGGTAACTGGAAGAGAGCGGGAGGAGAAGCCGTTTGTGCAGATGTACTGCTGGCGATTTGTGAGGTGGGACTCGAACCAGGCGAGCGCGGTCCCACTGAGGTGGATGACGGAGGAAAGGCGGTGGAGGAGGATGGCGTGATCGACTGTGTCTAATGCCACAGAGCGGTCCAGGAAGAGGGAGTGGGAGGAGAGGTGTGCGCGAAGTTGATTGGCAACAACGCGTTCTAAGACTTTAGCGAGGAAGGGCAGGTTAGAAATGGGGTGGTAGTGGCTGGAGTTTGAGGGACCTAGGGAAGGTTTTTTGAGGTGACAAAGGCATGGACTAGGGTTTCAGCGGCTTTAAGAGAGGTATTTGCAGAGACGGGCGAATGGTCGGAGGTGGAGAAAGCGGTGCTGGTGAGGGACCGGATGTGGGGGAGGAAGGACAATTGGGGGTAGGACTCAAAGCAGCTCATTATGGTCAAGGAAGCAGTATTCTCCTGGTTAGATTCTTATATCATTTAGGCACTCCTTTTGCACAGCATTCACTGAAATGCTCACACTTGACATCACCCAAGCAGCTGTTTTGGCAGGAGACACAGCATGTTGAGTCTCTACCATGCTGCTATGAATGTGATGTCTTACAAGTTAGAACTTATTAATAAAGAATCATAATCCTTGCATTTGATACAGCAACCTATCACATTATTGAAACATCACAAAGCGCTCCATGGGATATACTATATAAAGTGTAGTGTAGGCAAATGCAGCAGTCAATTTGCATTTGGCAATGTTCAAGTGATGACCAATTTTATCTTAAGAACTGTTGGCCAGGACGTTGGAGAAACTGCCTTCTCCGTTTCAAATAGTGCCATGGGATCTTTAACATCCAACTGAGCAGATAGGACCATGATTTAACATCTCATTTGAACATTGATACCTCTGAAACCTGACAGTGCAGTGCAGCCTAGATTGTAAGATCAAAATCCCAACATGGGGCTTGAACCTACAACCTTCTGACTCAGAGGTGAAAGTGCTACAAATTGAGCCAGGCTAATCTACTGTTTCCTCGGTAGTTCATTTTTCTTCCCTTCGTAGGAGAAATTAATGTTTTAAGTATAATATTTGTTTCATTGAAAGTGCTTAAACTTGTTCCTTTAATAAACTTACGTTCATCTGCACCTGATTTGGATCCAGCTTGTATATTATTGTAACACGTCATGTGATAACAACAGCAATGTCCCACCCAGGACTGAATGAATCTCTTTCTAATGGTAATAATTTAACCTGGGAATTGCTAAGAGCAGCAATTTACTGCATGTATTTTTTAAATTACCAGTCTAAGAAAATATCTGTTCAATGCTTCAAATTTTCAGAGCAAAACAGTTGTAAATAAAAGTGAACTCACTCAACGGGAAACAGCTTAACATGCACATCCCCCATAGTAGTGTGGATAATTGCACTGTCAGAAACACGCTTAGGACCATCTGCTTGTGTGGCAGCCATAACCTCTTCCTTGGATGGTTTTTCATTGAAGACATCTCGATCGGACTCAGCACTCTTTGTATCCTCTGGTTCCCTCTTTGTGAACTAAAAATGCAAAACACTTCATTTTAAAAACGCATCTTTAAAAAATAATTAACGTGAAAGGATCTGAAAATTAAAATCTATAAGCAATTTACATTTCAGAGATTACAAGTAGATTATACTTGTGCCATTATCTCTTTCCCTCAGTAAATTTCAGACGTGATGGAAAAAAATAAAAAGGAAAATTTGAAGTTTAAAACGTCATTGAAGTTAGTACATTTGCATATTCTTAGATTTTTCACGTACCATATAAAAACGATTCTTTTTAAATGCTGTACAGAAAATGGTTGGGTCGTGTTGAATATTCTGTAGCACAGGGTTGTCAGAAGCTTTCATCTCCACCGTCATTACAACCTGACTTTGTCTAGCTGCACCTTGGAACAAAGCCAGTTGAGCCACCCGGATATTTTCTTGTTTACCAAGGATACGCACACACCTTAAGAGAAAATAGAAAGGCTTTTCATTGGTGTCTGTGGTGCTGTAATTTACATTTTAAAATATCCATGAAAAATAAAAGCAATAGAAAGCAGCAATGCATTTATCAATCACCAATTTTTAGTTTCTCTGTATTTCAAAATTTACAATATAAATGGCCTATTTTTGATTCAGTGCCTTGTATTTCGGCTTGTGTTTATTTGTGCAACTCTGGTATTAATACCGAAATCCAGTAAATCTTATAATTTACTGTCCTTTAATCCCCGCTAGGGTGAAATTCTGCTATGATTGTTCAATACTTTTTCAAACAATGTTTTTAATTCTCTGCCTTTACCCCTGGGTTTGGGGTACAATTCTAGCAAACCTTCCAGTACTCCACTCCCAACAATCCCCCACCCCACCCTGCACATAAACACTTCCATAACTCAGGATATTATTAAAGTGATCAGTGATTGGTTTTGGATGCTGCTGTTTCCATTACTTAAAACAGCAGGAATGGAAACTCTGACCAATGTTTCCCTTTTCTAACTTAAGGGACCAATAAGGCGAACTGTACCAACCCCACTGCCACCCTGAGGTCCTCTAATTCAGCAACTAGAAACAACTAAACCTGGGATCTTCACAGTCCACATCACAAGATACATTAATAATAATAATAACAATCCTTGCATTTGATATTGTGCTTTTCACATCTTCTAGACGTCTCAAAGCGCTTCACAGAATATGCTGTAAAGTGAATTGACTGTATATTTGTGGGCGAAACACGGCAGCCAATTGCACACAGCAGTGTCCCACAAACAGTCGTGGATTGAAAATGACCAATTTATTATTGTTTTGTTTTGGAGGGATTATTATTAGGCGTGTGGAGTAAGGAAACTTGCCCAAGGTTTCGCCCTGCCTGGAATTGAACTCAGGTGTCTCACTTGCAAGGCGAGTGCTCTAACCACTGAGCTACAGGACTCCACTCTCCCACTGAGGCACTGAGGAAATCCATTCAGTGCAAAGTTAGTACAGCAAACTCTTGATAACCCCGACCCTGGCTTAATTAGTTACTACCACTTAAGTCGCCATGCTGACGATATCCTGCTTGCATCCCATTCAAAATATTGTCACTCCGCTTAACACGCAATAAAGTCACATTTCAGAAAATCTCGTAATTACACTCAATGTAAAATCAATGAGATAATTTGCCATGACAAGAAGCAAACTCTCGTAACAATTGCAGAAAAGGTCACTGCTCAGCCAGCTACGTGGTGTTAATTGTGATGCAAGTTGTGTGTATACAAATACATTATAGTACATCTCTTGAGAAGAGCAGTTTCTAACACAGTAACAGATATAAGCAGTAGGAAACAGAATATAAGTGCATTTATACACAAACAAGTCTATTATATATAATATACATTACTTAAATGAGTTTTATTAAACTGTTCTGTCACTCTGGCAGGTGCTGTATACACAGGTTGTTGTATACAGTAGGTGCTCTCAGCGCCCCCTTGTGGTCCGGAAAGACCTATGCCTCACTCACCTCTGAATAACTCGTCACTGAGCCCTTTACTCTTGGAGTGACGAGATATCAGGAGTTGACTGTATCTGCTGGATTCTTAACCAGGATTATGTGAACTACACTTCACTATTCTAGTCATCCTTCTTTAGAATATTTCCATAAATAAGATCTATTGTAAAAGAAATACAAAATTATGTGCAAGATTACGTGATGCATACCAAATGGGTTTACAACTATAAAAAGTGCATTATCCCATCACAGAAATAAACAGAAGCTCACTTTTTAAGGGTTTTCTACAGTAAACTGATTAATTTGATGGGATTACAGCTGTGAACCTCCGATATCTCAAAGCCAGTGCACATGATCTGCCATTGCATTTATTATTGTTTCCAGCAATGAACATACCTGTTAGTTTCAACATTTATTACTTTGATTCCCAACATTGTAGCATAAAGTATGAAATGTCCAGTTTCATCAAAAATAATATTGGCCAGTCTTATTCCATCCACTTTTTCCAGTTCTCTTTCAACAGCCATACGCCGGCCAAACTCCATGTCTGGAAGCTGTTGCCTCATTTGTTGCAATTCTGTAAACATCTTAAAACAAAAGTTTAACTTTTAAGTAGTGAATACCCTTGACAGAATTCTACTATAGGACATTTGCAAATAGAAATTCTTTGCAAGTCAAATACTGATTGAGGAACTAGTGAAATGTATAGATCTGTAGAACTTTAACAAAAACATTACATTTGAATAGTGCCTTTCACGTCGAGAGGACGTCCCAAGGCGATGGACAGACAGAGTTATGGACGCGAGCTGGGTATTGGTCTTGTTGACGTTCAACTGAAGAAAGTTAGCTCTCATCCAGGACTTGATGTCTGACAGACATTCTGTCAACATAGCAGTGATCCTGGAGTCAAGGAGGCAAGACTTAGTTTCAAATATGTTACTGAAGCCCTCCAAAATAGTGAAAAATTATCAAAAATATTAAGCAAATTTTGGGACTGATCCAGTTATACCAGATAACGATGAGTCACTTTGGGTTTAGGAAGCCAGTTATGGGTCCATAGGGACCCATAACTGGCTTCCTGTTATAACAAAGCTCTACTTTAGTTTGCACTGAATCAATGTCAGTCACACTGAAATAACACACGCTCATCATGGTAACAAGCACCAAACTGTTCGAGGAGATAGTCGCTCGTTGCTTTCCATTGGCATTGTCTATAGTATAACCACATCTGGTGCAAAGGCAATTTTATTTTTTAAAAAATCAAATTACATGTTTAATAGGTTCCTGGGTAATCCCTTAAATTGAGTCAGCTTTTCAATAATATTTAAGTCGCTTGAACAGATGCCTGCAAATTTAAGCAAACTGTTACACTGAAAATGAATTCTGAATGTGAGCATATACCTGTTCTGAGAATGCACAATATTAACAGTAATTTACATTTATAAATTTGCTTTTACATGAGAGAAATGCCTCAAAGAGCTTTACAGAATGTAATTAATTAGGAATAAAGTAAATGTTATGGAGGCAGACACAGCAGCTAATTTAACAGCATCATCAACAATAAAACGAGAAGGCATTTGAGGGTTGAATTGATGTGTCAAAAAGAGAATATAAGACAAGTTAACAGAGGCAAACGCCACCATTTTTTGCAATAGTGACAGGAATCCTTTCATATCCATCTGATTTACAAGACGTCCATTGGAAAAATGGAAATGGTTCTATACCACTTCACTGATACTTTCTCACCTTGATCAGAATAAAGCAAACTATTTTTCTCTTAAAAAATCTACTTACTGTAAGGGATTCATCGAAGATCCTCATGAGCTTTCCCGTCAAAAACCTGAAAATTCTGACTTTGCGATCAGATCCAATGGTGGCCATTTTCTTTCCATCAGGAGAGAATGCAACGCTTATTGGGTACGATTTACACTTCGCAAATTCATACAGGTCTGTATCCGTCTTGTATACCCATGCCACATTTCTGGGAAATTTGTAATCATTGGGTGGCCCAGTCCAATATTCCAGCATTCCTGATTTATCAGTGGATACGACAACCTTGTACACGGGATTTAACTTGATCTGACTGAGGGGGGAGCTATGCAGTTTCTCAATCACATGGAGCGGTTTGTTATTTCCTCGAGCGTCATACACAAAGATCTTTCCACTGTTCTTTTCAGAACATGCTACAGCAAATATAGCATCTCCTGGTGAGTAAATCCATCCACACTTCCCAGGGTGGAAGCTGTAAAACAAAATTGTGAACCCTTAATTTTAAATTCATTATACAACAATGTGAGCAATGCGAGTTTCTCATCTAGATGCTAGTTACAATGGGAACTCACTAAAATCAATTAACTTCACAGTATATTCTGTGAAGCACTTTTACACGTCTCAACGACGCAATAAGGCACTATATCAAATGCAAGGATTATTTTTAATCAAATAGACTTGACTGTCTAGACCACCTAGATACTCATCTAGGTTTGTGGAGTCCTGTAGCTCAGTGGTTAGAACACTCGCATTGCAAGCGAGAGACCTGAGTTCAATTCCAGGCAGGGAGAAACCTTGGGCAAGTTTCCTTACTCCACACACAGCCTAATAATAATCCCTCCAAAACCAAAGACAATAATAAATTGGTCCTTTTCAATCTACGACTGTTTGTGGGACATTGCTGTGCGCAATTGGCTGCCGCGTTCGCCCACAAATATACAGTCAATTCACTTTACAGTGTGTTCTGTGAAGCGCTTTGGGACGTCCTCCCGACGTGAAAAGCGCTATATCAAATGCAAGGATTATTATTATCTCCAAATTTAAAAAAGTTTAAGAAAAGAAATCTCAATATTACAAATGTTCAGTTAAAGCATTTATAGAAAAAATATGAAAGTAAAATTACTATCTGACTGATACCTACCCCAGTTTGACCATATTGATCATATCGAAGTTCACAACATCAAAAATCTTCATTGCTTGGTCATCACCAACTGAACAGTACAGAGCCCCTTCTGAACTAATGTCAGCAGATTCAATAACACCTGCAATTAAAAAAAATTGTTGAGTCTCAAGTAATAGTAATTTCATCCATAAATATACAGTTAATTCACGTTACAGCATATTGTGAGGCGCTTTGAGAAGTCTAGAAGACGTGAAAAGCGCTATATCAAATGCAAGGATTAATACTGTTATTATTAAAATATATTCCCCAGTTCATTAACTGGTGTATCTTGTTGCTTTCCATTTACCCACTGTGACTGTTCATAGTAAAACCATGATCAGAACACTTAATAATCTTTTTTGAAGTACTGTGTTAGCTTCCCTTTTTACTTAGATCAGCAACACATTTATTGTCGACATCCTTGTTCAGTATTGCCCAACCTGTGAACGTACCAGATGTAACTCCTTTGATGACCCATCAAGGTAGGCTCTTACCAACACAAATACAGCATTCACCTGGTGAAAGATGCCATAACAAGAAAGCAAAGTACAAATACCAGCTGACATTTTACACACTAATCCCCTTGCAATATAGGCATTTTTCCCTGACTCAATGAAAAGGAAGACACCCAGCTAGTATCTAGATCCTAGGACCAGTTCAATTATTTCCATTCCATCTATAGCACAGATATTTTTCAGACTGGGTTTTCACTTACTTGGCAGCAGCCATTAATTGCTTATGAGACTGTTAGGAGCCTTTAAGTTAGGAATGCTTTCTACTGCTGACTGAAATAAATACATGGAACACTACAAAAATTAATGTGGGAAGGTTGGGTTTTCTTTTTTGCACAATTTCAAGAGAATTTGTTTTCCCTGCGTTAAAAGGCATAAATATTGAATCGAGGCGAGTGGCAGGAACTGAAATCGACTCCAGTAGCTGCTGAGAACACAAAATAAAATCTGAAAATATTGTGTTGCTGTGTCAATGAGCTGCAGAGAGACTTCCAGGGCCTAATGGGGATTCTAAACTCTACTGAAATAAGCAGAATACTAAAATTATAAAAAGACACAAACACTGTTCAATTCAGCCTGGTTATTCAGTGCCCCTGGTGATGTTTCACTCATTTCCTCTGGATGAAAAGCAGCCACAGGCTATCAGACATGACAGTGAGCAGACGTGAGCTACAGGATTGAAGGGATAATTGAACTATCCCACTCCATGCCCTATTAACAATTAATATACACTGATGGCATAGAAGTGTAGTCCTGTGGCTCAGTGGTTAGAGCACTTGCTTTGCAAGCAAGACACCTGGGTTCAATTCCAGGCAGGGCGAAACCTTGGGCAAGTTTCCTTACTCCACACGCCTAATAATAATCCCTCCAAAAACCCCAAACAATAATAAATTGGTCATTTTCAATCTACGACTGTTTGTGGGACATTGCTGTGCGCAATTGGCTGCCGCGTTCGCCCACAAATATACAGTCAATTCACTTTACAGTATATTCTGTGAAGCGCTTTGGGACGTCCTCCCGACGTGAAAAGCGCTATATCAAATGCAAGGATTATTATTATTATTATAAGTGGATACAAGGTGTCAACTTTTCTCAGTTGGTTTGTCTCAAGAGTCAGAAGCTTGTGGGTTCAAACCCCACATCAGGACTTTGAGCTCAAGGCTTCAATGCAGTTCTGGGAACAGCTAAATTATATATATACACACACACACATACACACAAACAGTCTCACTCCTTTATTACTTGTGACAATCATACTCCACATTACTTGTGGATCACACAATCAGGACTCCAAGCAGTTAGTCTGTCCTATCAAACAGTTGATAGACAGTAATTGCAATAACAACAAAATTGATGGTTTAGATATTCCATAAACGTCAGTTGAGAAGAGCTCATACCAAGTGAATGGTTTATAGCTCCTTTGATCTCAATAGCACCACGTACTTATTTTCTATTAGATTTGAAAGGCTAAAATCTAGCAATAAGAAGACTACGTAAGTTCCACTAAAAGCATATTGTACGGTGGGCATTGAACATTGAACATGTCAACTTGTTAACTGTAAAAACAGACCAAAACATCACAATTTGCCTATCACTAAACAGCAACATGAAATGATCATTTTGTTTGCTATCATTTTCATGTATAATGCTTTCTCTGTAATAATGTTTAGCATAAAATCATAGTTTTCCAACTGAAATTGTTATATTTGACTTTCACTTTAATATATAACACAACATTTTTTGAAAAAAAAGGTAATTTTTACCTAGATGACTGCGAAAATGTTTAACAAATTCTATCCCTTCATCTTTCTTCTTCCAGAACTTGATGTGTCCGTCCTGACTGGCAGTTATTATGAAGTCTGTCCTATGCATTCACAAATCAAGGAACAGTGGTTTAGCAAGCTTTCAAATATTAAACTGTCCAAAAAATCATGTTCTGAGAAGCCTCAAACAAAAAACGGGAAAAAAAATTAATGCAGTTAATTTTAATTGTACTTAATGATCAAACAATTCATGCATCAGATATTTCCACAGACGAATGTCAGCTGGTAAATGCCATTAATGTCGATGAACTAGTGTTTAGAATTTATTCAATAGTTTATTTAGAATCAGGAATGATTATCTTCAATACTAGTACCCTCATATGATCTGTGTCACTATGTAATGATCAAACATACATGCACCAAGAACAACAAATTTACACTTGTATAGCACGTTTCATGTCAGGAGGACATCCCAAGGCGCTGGACAGTCAGTGCATCAGACGACCCGAGCTGGGGGTCGGGATTGGGGAGATTGGAGGGCGGGTGGAGGAAGCAAGGTGATCAAAAACAAGGTCGAAGAGGAGGGTCTTGAGATGGGTCTTGAAGGAGGCAAGGGAGGGGGCGAGGTGGAGGGACTGCGAGACGGCGTTCCAGAAGGCGGGGCAGAGTGGCAGAAGACCCGCTCACCAATAGTGGGGTGCACGAGGCAGGGGAGGAGAAGCAAGCCGGAGCCCACTGAGCAGAGGGAGTGGGCAGGATGGTAGGGGGTTAGGAGGTCACAGAGGTAGGGGGGAGCAAGTCCATGGAGGGCTTTGAAGGTGAGCACCAGGATTTTGTGATGGGAAGCCAGTGGAGTCGGCCGAGGATGGGGGTGATAGGGTCACGGAGCCTGGTGCAGGAGAGGACACGGGCTGCAGAGTTCTGGATGATCTGCAGCCTGTGGAAGGCGGTGTTGGGAAGGCCGACAAGCAAAGAGTTTGCATAGTCAAGACTCGATGTTATGAAAGCATGTATGAGGGTTTCGGTGGGCTGCGATGTGAGACAGTGGAGGAGCCGGGCGATGTTGCTGAGGTGGGGGAAGGCAGAGCAGGTCTTGGCGCAGATGTGGGGTAGAAAGGATAGTTGAGGGTCAAACAGGGCCCCAAGGTTCCAGACTGGCTTAGTAAGGTGGAGTGTGCAACCATGGATGGTAATGCTGTCAGCGCCTGAGGTATGGAGGCGCTGATGGGAGCCAATCAGGAGAGCTTCGGTCTTGTTGACGTTCAGCTGAAGAAAGTTAGCTCTCATCCAGGACTTGATGTCTGACAGACATTCTGTCAGGAAAGCAGTGGTCCTGGAGTCAAGGGTAGAGGCAGAGAGGCACAGTTGGGTGTCATCTGCATACATGTGGAAGTTGTCTGCAGATGCTGTCACCAAGAGGGAGCATATAGACATAAATGTTTGGGTTCTATAATAGCAAATTTTGCTTAATCGGTGTGATTTATAGATAAATATACATTTATTGTTGAGTCATAAATGCACACAAAATTAAATATCACAGTCAAAACACACAAGATTTATAGTGGATAGTTTCAAAAATCGAATGCATCGTGCTGGGGAGTGGAAAACAACAACTTGTATTTTATATTATTTAATGCTTTCACACAGGTAGTGTCTGGGAGAACACGCTTAACTGCAGTATGGCTCGACAGCAAGCCGAAACAGGACGGGAGGTGACTGATGGCACGGTCAAAGAGAAAAGTGCTCAGGTGTCACTTGAGGATGGGCAAAGGGGGCAAGACAGAAGATTGAGGCCAGGAGATCAAGAGATTCAGGGCATAGTGGCTGAAGGCATGACCGCCGATTGTGGTGCAGAGGGAACAAGGGCTACAAACATGAGAGAGAAAATGTTTACTTTAAAAATAAAGGCAATTCCTCCCCTTCAAAACTCCAAATACAATATGAACATTACATTAGAATTGTACATGAATCGAAATGTATTCATTGAACCACCACAAAGATTTCATTTGTAGTCTTATATTTCAATGGAGTAAATAAGGTAAACAAAAGCAGGTCTTACCGAGTACACACTAAGTGTGTAATAACATCTCTGTGCATGTAGCTCCGCTCGTACATAGATGCACAAGGAAGGTTGTTCAGATACACATGTTCAAAGTCAAGAACTGGAACCAAAATAAAACAATTCAGAATTACACAGGAAAACAGAACAAATAATCTAATTTATGGTACACCTAGATATACAATTAGAAAAATACTTAATTTCTCATTCCTTCATAATTCACCATCACCAGGTAAGAACTCTGGGGAACTGTAGAAATGGACTCAACTTAAGTGTTTAAGAATTGAGCATTTTAAATAAAATGTCTACAACGGTTCCAGCACACCAAGCCGCTAACTCGCACACAGGGCACAATATAAATGCAAGTTGCTGTGGCAGAAGATGATCTAATGTGCTCCACTAACAGGTGAGGTCCCCATGTTCCCTCCAGCATCCAGCAAAACCCCAAGCCTTTGCTGAGTACCTTCCTGCACAGTTAAGTATTTCGGCAAAATTCATTACTCTGGGGTCCCCCAAGCCTTGGCTCCTGCCAACCTGCGCCTAATAGTTTGCGGAATTAGGTAAGCAAGATAACTCCCTCCATCCAGGGAGCGAGCGCGGATTCCATTCCAACAATCTACCGCCGGGATTTCCACGGGATTTCCAATCTCAGTTTGGTTTGGACGCCTTTGCGCGGGTGATGGGCTTCCGCACGCGTCGGACACACCGCGGCTCCGACGAAAACAACAAGACGTAACGGAGCCGCCACCTCGGCCTGGAGCCGCGTGTGGAAGACGGACGGCGTGATTAGCCGCTGTGTCAAATGCAAGGATTATTAATTGCTCTGATGATCTCCCGCGCGGCCGTGCCTTACTGTGACTGTGATTATAATTCTCTGACCGCCTCGGGCTCGCGCTGGCGGCTCTGGGCCTTCAACCCCACCCCTCGACTCCCTACCCCCTCCTCCCCTCCCCTCCCCCTGACCATTCTCCTCCCCTCCCCTCCCCGACCACTCCCCCTCCTCCCCCCCGACCATTCCCCCCTCCTCACCCCTCCCCCTCCCCTAACCATTCCCCCCTTCCCTCCCCCTGACCATTCCCCCTCCTCGCCCCCCCCCTCCCCTCCCCTGACCACCCCCCTCCTCGCCCCCTCCCCTCCCTCCCCTGACCACTCCCCCTCCTCGCCCCTCCTCCCCTCCCCTCCCCCTGACCACTCCCCCCTCCTCGCCCCCTCCTCCCCTCCCCTCCCCTGACCACTCCCCCTCCTCGCCCCTCCTCCCCTCCCCTGACATCCCCCTCCTCGCCCCTCCTCCCCTCCCCTCCCCTGACCACTCCCCCTCCTCGCCCCTCCTCCCCTCCCCTCCCCCTGACCACTCCCCCCTCCTCGCCCCTCTCCCTCCCCTCCCCCTGACCACTCCCCCTCCTCGCCCCTCCTCCCTCCCCTCCCCTGACCATCCCCCTCCTCGCCCCCTCCTCCCCTCCCCTCCCCTGACCATTCCCCCCTCCTCGCCCCCTCCTCCCCTCCCCTCCCCCTGACCACTCCCCCCTCCTCGCCCCTCCTCCCTCCCTCCCCCTGACCCTCCCCCTCCTCGCCCCCTCCTCCCCTCCCCTCCCCTGACCAGTCCCCCCTCCTCGCCCCCTCCTCCCCTCCCCTCCCCCTGACCAGTCCCCCCCCCCAAGGCTCGGTTCCCGACCCAACTGTCCAGCGCCTCGGGACGTCCTCCCGACGTGAGAGGCGCTGTATCAATGCAATGCCGTTGTTGTTGTTGTTGTTGTTGGGCGCGTGAAGCCAAGTGCACGGTTTGACTGAGGCCCCCGAGTCTCGGGCTCCGGATCGACCCCCGGGGGAGCGGCGGCTGTTACCTTTCCTCCTCTTGGTGCTCACGGCCTCGGAGGGAAGGGGTCCCACCCACCCGTCATCCTCCGCTTCGCCGCCGGTCTCCTCCTCCCGCCCGCGCTCGCCGCTCCTCTTCCTCTCCGTCTCCCTCTCCGCCGCCATGTTGGGCCTCAGCTCCCGCCCCGACCTTCGACCCCTGACTCCGGGGCGGGGGGGCGGGGTCTTCAGGGTGATTGGCAGTCCAGGCGGCCAATCAGAGGTCAGGGGCGGGGCCCCAGTGTTGGGCGGGGCTTCGGCAGCTCCAGGGACCCGACCTGAGCAGCAATGTCCTTCCCCAACACTTTGGTGGCAGCGCAACGAGGGCTCAGAGAGTCGCATTGGCGGTGACTTACACTGAAGTGCAATTGCATTTTTGCAGTGTTTTGAGGATAAGGTCCATCGCCACCGCAACCCGGGGGACGGGCAATACGTGCTGCTCCTGCCAGCGTCACGCACATCTGGAAAAAATGTATTGGATAGGGAATGCTTGATCATGAATCTGTTTAAATGATGAAATAATAATAATAATAATAATAATCCTTACATTTGCATTTGATATAGCGCCTTACCACTTCCTTCAAGGAGGCACAAAGAGCTTCACTGGGTACATGTAACGTGTACACGGTAAAGTGGTGTGACTGTATTTTGTGAGTACACATGTGTAAGACCTTCAAAATACACAGTCATTACACTCTAACGTAAATCCTATCAAACTCATGGAGGCAATATCAAGTACAAGGATTATATAATATTGTTTTATAAATATCTGTCTACTTGTGTAGCTTGAATTGCATTATATACTCCGATACACTGCCTGTGTGAAGGGTTGTTGTATATAATAATAATAATAATAATCCTTGCATTTGATATAGCGCTTTTCACGTCGGGAGGACGTCCCAAAGCGCTTCACAGAACACACTGTAAAGTGAATTGACTGTATATTTGTGGGCGAACGCGGCAGCAATTGCGCACAGCAATGTCCCACAAACAGTCGTAGATTGAAAATGACCAATTTATTATTGTTTTTGGTTTTGGAGGGATTATTATTAGGCGTGTGGAGTAAGGAAACTTGCCCAAGGTTTCGCCCTGACCTGCCTGGAATTGAACCCAGGTGTCTCGCTTGCAAAGCGAGTGCTCTAACCACTGAGCTACAGGACTCCACAAACTTGCATTGTCTCTCAAATCTGAAAATGTATAATAATAATCATTGCATTTGACATAGTATCTATTACATCAGGCTTTAGCAAAATTTACTTTCTTCCAAGCATGCATAACACACCCAGTAATTCATCCTCATACACCAGAAGTTACTTGCATACTGCTCAGTGATGCTCAGCCATTATAGCTCTATACTCCACCCTCAATTCCAGGAGCACTGCTGTCCTGGCAGAATGTCTGCCAGACATCAAATCTTGATGAGAGCTAACTTTCTACATTGAACGTTAACCAGACTGAGACCTGCCTGATTGGCTCCCTCAGAGTCTCCACGCCTGAGGCACTGATAGCATCACCATCCATGGATGCCAGTCCAGAACCTTGGCATCTTGTTTGACCCTCAACTGTCTTTTCTACCCCACATCTATGCCATGATGTGGGGTAGATAGGACCATAAGGGCTCTGAGACGTGGAGGACGCAAGCTGTTGTTGTTATGATACGTTCTGGCTTCCCCGACCTCCGCAACATCGCCCAGCTCCACCACTGCCTCACCCCTGAGGCTGCCAAAACCCTCATCCACGCATTCATCATATCGAGGCTCGACTAAGCCAACTCCCTGTTGTCAGTCTTCCCATCTCTTCCCTCCACAAGATGCAGATTATCCAGAACTCTGCAGCTCATGTTCTCTCCACACCGGGCTCCATGAACCTTTCACTCCCACCCTCGCCTGGCTCCACTGGCTCCCCATCCCCCAGAGGATATGGTTCAAAATGCTCACCTTCAAAGCCCTCCACAGCCTTGCTCCTTCCTACCCCTGTTACCTACTAACCTCATATCAACCTGTGCGCTCCCTCCACTCAGCAGGCTGCTCCACATCTCCCATTTGGCTTGCCCCACCATCGGCGGTTGGGCCTTCACCCTCTCTGCCCAACTCTTTGGAACTCCATCCCACATTCCCTTTGCTTCGCTACCTCCCTTGTTTCCTTCAAGGCACATCTCAAGACCCTCCTCTTCGACCATGTCTTCGGCCACCCTCCTACCCTCTCAGCCCTCCACCCTCCCTGATCCCAGACCCCCTGCTCGGGTCCAAATCCCTGACTGTCCAGCACCTTCCAATGTCCTCTCAACGTGAAAGGCGCTGTACAAATGTAATTTTGTATTGTGTTGAAAATAGAATCATACAATCTTACAGCACAGAAGGAGATTCTCAGTTTAATGTTGTAAGAATAACAAAATGAACTGTGCTGAAAATCTTCCAGCTGGTGTAGTTTCCAGTGTTCGTTGTGGATTGATGAGTCTGCCGTTGAGAAAGTAAATCCAGATCATTACTTTAGGGGGTGTTATGACAGCAGAACAAGTGAACATAGGTTTAATAATAATAATAATCCTTTCATTTGAAATAGCACCTTATCACTTCTTTGAGGCATCTCAAAGCACTTCACAGAATATACAACAACAACAACAACTTGGATTATATAGCGCCTTCCACGCCGGACGGTGTCTGAGAGCATTTCATAGTAACGGATCCCGGGGCCGAGCCAGGAGGAGGGGGAGGAAGGTGACCAAAGGCGCGGTCAAAAAGAAAAGTCTTCAGCAGACCTGAAAATAGGAAGGGAGGGAACGAGGTGAAGGGAGTGAGGAAGGGAGTTCCAAAGCCTCCGGGCACAGTGGCTGAAGGCACGGCTGCCGAGGGTGGAGCAGAGGACTTGAGGCACGAGGAGGAGGCCAAACCCAGAGGAATGAAGGTAACAGGTACTGTTTTGGGGAGAGAGGAGGTCAGAGAGGTAGGGGGGTGCAGAGGAGTGCAGGGACTTGAATACAACGGTGAGGAACTTGAAGTCGATCCTCTCTGGGACAGGCAGCCAGTGCAGGCTGGCAAGGACTGGGATGATCGGGGAGCGGAGTTTCGTGCGGGTGAGAATGCGGGCGGCAGAGTTTTGGATGATTTGGATTTTATGGATGGTAGTGGATGGGAGACCGGTGAGGAGGGCGTTAAAGTAGTCCAGCCTGAGGTGACAAAGGCATGGACCAGGGTTTCAGTGGCTTTTGGAGTGAGGTATTGGCGGAGTGAGGTACTGTAAATTGAATTGAGTGTTTTGTGAGCAAAACTGTTTAGAATTGTAAAGGGCAATTTCAGGACAGATACCAGGAAGTTTTCTTTACATAGAGGGTGATTAATGAATGGAACAGGCTGCTAGGAAAGGTGATAGAGACCGGGGCACAAGACTCATTTAAAAAGCAGCTTGATGCAGTAATGGGGCAACAGTAGGGTGGGTGTTCTGAAGGAATGAGATCGGATGGGCCGAATCTTTATCCAGACTAATCTTGTGATCTTGTGAGATATATCTGAGGAAATATTTATATGAGTAAACATCATTTCTAATCAATTACATTTTGCAAAGTGCTTTGAAACTGTATAAATTCAAGTCATTACTATTAAATTAAAGCATTTTTTTACAGAATAAAAATTGGCAAGTTCAAGCTTGTGGGCAACATTTTTGTTAAAATAAATGACGTTCATACATGTTCATTTGTTGATAAAAGTATTTCCCTCTTGAAAGCTACAATGGACTCTGGTTCCACTACCCTACTCACCAGGGCATTGCACACCCCACCTACTCGCTTGGCGAAAAACTTCCTCTTAAATTCCCCTTTATATAAATATTAATAGTTGTCAACTATCATTGAAAGTTCTTAACTGTAGTAATATTGGGTTATGGAAAACACAGGTTATGTAATTAATGGCTTTATAACAACAACAACAACAAGATTCCATTTATAAAGCGCCTTTCACGTCAGGAGGACGTCCCAAGGCGCTGCACAGTTGGGTCAGGACCCGAGCAGGGGGGGAAATGGTCAGGGTGAGGGGAGGGAAGGGAGGGAGCGAGGAGGGGGAAATGGTCAGGGTGAGGGGAGGGAAGGGAGGGAGCGAGGAGGGGGAAGAGAGTCGAGAGGGGAGCTGAAGGCTCGGTCAAAGAGAAAGGTTTTGAGACCGGCCTTGAAGGAGGAAAGGGAGGAAGCAAGGCGAAGGCACTGGGGGATAGACTTCCAGAGCCTGGGGGCTGAGAGGCTGAAGGGCCGACCACCGATGGTAGGGCGGTTGGGGCGGGGGACGTGGAGCAGACCGGAGCCAGAGGAACGGAGGGTACGGGCAGGTAGGTAGGGGGATAGTAGGTTGGAGAGGTAGGAGGGAGCAAGGCCGTGAATGGCCTTGTAGGTGAGGATGAGGATCTTGAAATCAATCCTCTGGGGGATGGGGAGCCAGTGGAGGCGAGCGAGGGTGGGAGTGATGTGGTCCCGAAGCCTGGTGCGGGACAGTACACGAGCTGCAGAGTTCTGAATGACCTGCAGCTTGTGGAGGGAGGTGGCGGGAAGGCCGGCGAGGAGAGAGTTCCCATAGTCCAGCCTTGAGGTGACAAAGGCGTGGACCAGGGTTTCAGCAGCGTGAGGGGTGAGGTAGTGCCGTAGTCTGGCGATGTTCCGGAGGTGATGGAAGGCAGTGCCAGTTGTGGTGCGGATGTGAGGGAGAAAGGACAGCTCAGGGTCGAACAAAACGCCGAGGTTCCTGACTGGCTTTGAGAGGTGGAGAGTGCAGCCTTGGATGCTGATGGTGTCGGCGCCTGAGGTGCGGAGGCGCTGACGTGAGCCAATCAGGAGGGCCTCGGTTTTTCGCACGTTGAGCTGAAGAAAGTTGTCTCTCGTCCAGGACTCGATGTCGGACAGGCAGCTGTCAGGACATCGGTGGTCGTGGAGTTGAGAGTAGAGGAGGAAAGGTAGAGTTGGGTGTCATCCGCATACATGTGGAAGTTAACCCCATGTCTGCGGATGATGTCACCAAGGGGAGCATATAGAGGGTGAAGAGGAGGGGACCGAGGACAGAGCCCTGAGGGACACCACATGAGACAGTGCGGGGGGTGGAGGAGAAGCCATTTGTCGAGACAAAGTGAAGACGGTGAGAAAGGTACGACCTAAACCACTCAAGGACAGTGCCTTGAAGGTTGAG